CAATGCCATCAGAGCCATCCAAGAAACTATTGAGTCTGAAGACGGTCCTTTTTGCTTTGCCCAGCATACACAAGCAAATAGGAGGTCATCGAGATGCTATGGATTTACCTGTGAGTAAGCTTTTGTGTTGATCTCTTTGATATAAATTGCTAATCATTCGGGTTACTCTTCAAATGGACAATTTGTGAATTGTAGTTACCCCAAACTGCAGCTTTTTGTCATCTTCATCGTGAGGAAAAAGATGTGATACCCATGGGGATACGTGATGAATGGCCTATGCAGATCAACTTCGATTTATTGGAACAGTGAGTCCATTCTTCACCCTCACAAACTGCAAATTGTATTGGACCTAATACACACAATGTCTAGATGTATTCAGAAACATCAAAGTCGTCTTGCCCAGATTTTCAAGCAGGAAATCCCTTCCTCTTTTCTCAATGTTGCCCAATCCCAGTGGAAAACCCAGGGATCACGGATGTTTAGTATGCTTGGCAAGTTTGAGGGATATGAGCTGGAGCAGCCCGGATAGTGAGTTCAATTTTGACAACCTGTGCTTTTCTGTTTTTGATGACTGAACAAAACCATTAGTTATGGTCAGATTGGTTTTCTCGTTATGTTCAAGGTGCTGTCCAAGATGTTCTTGGACACGGATTCTGAGACCACACTCGACAGCAAGCCGTTTCCATTGGATTACTTCCTTTGTCGCGTACTGTTGCCCGAACTTGCCCTATCCATGATTGCCAAAGATGTGGGCCTGCCAGTCACCAATGCCAAAGTCATGAGGATTCTCGAACGAAGCCGAGCTTTTGGAGTGGCTGTCTTTTCTCAGAATGACAACAATGTTCCGTTGAAGCTTGGTAACACCAAGAAAATCACAGTAATCTCAGCCTCTCAGTCGTCAGATTCCAAAGGAAACACCAACAAATTCAGTTTGAACTCAGACTCAAAACATCCAGCTCGCAAAAGCGCTCTGACCTCGCCACAGGACCAAAACATATTGAAGCAGATTCCACACTTCATGGTTCCATATGTCAACTTGATTTTTGATCCACCACCGTTTGGAAACTGTGGGTATTATGCAATTGCCACAAGTGTTCAGTTCTACTCTACAGATTTGTATCTGCATGTTCGAACCAAGTTACTAGCCGAGCTCAGGTCTAATGCAAAAGACCACGAGGCTCTGATTTCAGTTGCTCGGACTCGGCCTGCCATGAAGACGCGGAATTATCGCCTGTATGCTGCCAAGGTAGCTCAAGACCTTCTGGTCCGACTGGATTGGAAAGGGCTTGAATGCAGTGAGCAATATTGGTTGCAAATGCCGTATTTAGGTTATGTGATTGCGAGTACGTACAATAGGCCAATGATCAAATTGGATCCACTGCCATCCAACTGTTACACATTTTTTCCTTATCAGACCCAACCCAACAAGGAGATTCCTATTGTACTCGCATTTGTCAACAAACAGCATTTTGTGAGCTTAGCACCTAAGGTGGGCTTGATACCTTTTCCAGAGGTGTATGGTAAGTCCAACAACTCAGCCATGCTTGACACAACTACAATACCTAGTTGGGTCAAAAGCTACCAAGATCGGTTGGATAGCTGGACTAATCACAGACAATCCACCTAGTTTTACACACTTTTTTGTTTTTCTCATCTGTCTCCTCTCACACTCACTACACATCACACTTGTTACACTTGTCACACTCGTTATTATACTTTTGTTTGTTGGTGTCTTGTCTTTCTTTCTTATCATGTGTATGCCCTTTAAGCGTGGCAAAGGAATGACAAATATTACATGGATTTCAAAGTGCATAGTAGCAGTAATTTCTACTGAGAGCCTGTGACAAGATGATGGACGGGCTACGAGAGGCTAGCTGTGCATCTCAGAGTTTTTGGAGTTGTTTAAAGTCAAAGTGCGCGGTTTAATAATTTCATTTCAAAACCGGGCATTCCCGGTTTTCTACGAAAGTTGGAAGCCCGCTTTGTTATCCGGTTTCCGGGCTTTGGATCTCGAAAAACAGACGCCAAATAGTGGGATCCTTAATTAAAAACATGGTATAGTCCAGTGAATTTGGTTTGTCTATTCTAATCTTTCCATCATTACCATAGTTGATATTTCCGCCCAAAACTTTCACCTGAGAGTTAGATGACCTATAATAAACTGAAGTGTGTCACTAGAAGAGCCAAGATCAATACTTATGACTCCAGACAAAAATAAGCGCACTTGAAAGCAAGCCTCCAATGTTTGAAAAACCCCTGGATCATTTCAAACTAGATGAATCTGTTGAAGGTTGTGGTCACATTAATTCAACAGCAGGTTCCTTTTTGACAGCACTCTCTGCTTCCTTTGAACAGTCTTTGTGAGTTATCTATTCCCAGAAACAAATTGGGAGATAAGAATTCCACTCATGTTTCCAATATCACTCTCAGACTTATCAATTTGATAAATCCAGAGAAACATGGAGAGACTGAGAGAAGGTGGATTCCAATTTACATCTCTCTCTGTTGAATGTTTTTCCAGTATTGATCTCTCTGACATTCAAGTGATCAAGTCCATTGCTACAATTATTCAACTGAGCAAAACAGTCCCAACACTGCTTACCTTCTGTATCATTTCAGCACTTCTACTATATCTGCAGACATCAAATCCTTCATCAGATCAAAACCACAGTGACCGTAGGCCCCGTTTTTATCCATGTCATTTTCAGATTCTCAATATCATCATTCTTATCTTCAATTTTACTTTGAATCATTTTAAGGGTGGTTCAGTTGAAATTGTTTTGGCTGCAAAGTATTGTCCTGAGGTGAAGGTGACTGTTTTGAAAGATACAGACAAGAAATATGGAATTCTAATCACTTTGAGTGTTGAAACTGAGCCATTATAAACACTACTATGTGAAATATTTTCTTGATGACCAGTTGCATTTGAATTGGCAACTGACAAAAACCTACTTTTGATGATCTTCTTTAACTAAGGGGCATGCTCTTGCAAAAGAAATTCTTGGAAAAGATGATTCACCATTCTTTGTACTCAACTCAGATGTCACCTGTTCATAATCAGTCAAGCCACTTGCTTCCTTCCCTCAAGCTCAGCAAAAAGAAGCTACAATCATGGTCACCAAACTTATGCTGATGTTGAGATTGCTGCTGTAATTCTGAAGCTCTATGGCCACTTTCAATACTCCTACGTTATGGAAGACAATCAAGCCAGTAGACAATCAATTCTTTGATTTTGATTGGCATGGAGGACATGGATTGAGCAGGACCGGAAGTCCTCTGTGCTATGCATTCAGGTAATTTGGGTAACTGAGGTAGATTGGATGTTGATTGGATTTGTCTTGCAACATCCCCAATCATCATTTTATATTTGGAGGAAGTATTGATAATTTTTACACGGTTGGTCTTTTGAGGACCATCAAAAGGATGAAATGATGGAACATGCCGGTTGGTTTACTCCACAATTCAGTTCTGAGGTGATTTGGAGATACATCCTCAGCAGTCCTCAGCAAACTGATGCTGATGAGGAAATGGCATGATTTGCACAGCCCAGCACTGAAGGCTCATGAAGAGAGGTACACAAAATTGATAGCATGGTGACATATGAGCAACAAAGAAAAAGGACAACAATTTTTACCAGATTCCGCAGGAACATACTGAAATAGTGTTTGAATTGATAGTGGTTATTATGGTAAGTGCTTATGCTTCAGGCGCCAGCTGATGCGTTCAATCTCAGAGGATCTACCCAATTATATGAATTGAATGCTTTTGAATAAATCTATGGCGTGGGTAGCAGGCTCTTTGCTGCCTATCCCAAAACAAAACATGGAGCTTTGTAATTGAACAGGGTTTTCCAATACTCAAATTCTAGCTGGATTATCTCCTCTTGACTTTTGATACTCTATGCTTCCTTCAAGTGTGTAAATCCATTTTTCACGTCTTCAAAATTGACCCAAATATTCAATAATGATCATCTGCCAAAATTCTTGGATAAGCAAACATTTGAAAACTGAAGGGATTGATCAAACTCATTGTAAGAGGGTACCTCATCAGAAGATTCATTTTTTAAGAAAAAGTACACAACCTTGCATTCAATGACAAATCTCACAAGAAATTCAACACCAGGTGATTGAATGTCAGAATCATCAAAATTATATCTTAAGATCAAATCCTTGAGCATTCTTTTCCATCTTATCATTCTTTTTCTGTTCTCCATCTAAACATCCGAATTTGCAAGCACTTGTAAACATGAGATCTTTCCTTTGGAAAATTGGTCTACATCTTCAAGCCATTTGGTCAAGATGATGGCTATGAACAAAATCGATCCAATCAATTCAATTCGGTATCCAATCATTGAACAATTGAATAAGACCTCAAATAAACAAGTGATTGAATTTTTCTCGATCTAAAATCAAAATTATCATGATATCTCATTTTCTTCTTGCTTCTTTTCTGATCAAGACAGATGCTATTACAGCGGTTCCAAGAAAGGTTGACAACTGTTTTTTGGAGAAAGTTGTCTCCGCAGCGGCTAAAACCAAAGACAAAACTTGATTACAGGTTTATTATTTCCTGTATTCTTCCAATTAGCGGAGAGACAAAATCAAGTGAGGGACAAAACCCGGGTTTTGCACATTGGCGAGATTTTCAAAAAAATCAATCTTTGTTGGAACAGCTGTACGTCGAAAGCCGTTTTTTTAGAGCGGACATGGCCGCGTTTGCCAGATGAACACTGTGAGCCACAAGAATGACATCGCTGGTACCCAAGCTATGCATGCACGACCGAGTCCCGATGCATATGTAACATTAAGGCCTGTAGGATTAAGTACCTAACACACCAAACCACTATGTATTTAAATTTTGGGACTTAGCAAAGTTTAAAGCTCTTCCTTTTGTGAGTTGAGGTCAGAAAGTGTATTACTTAGGGTTAAGCTGTATGTGATTGAGTTTTGAATTTGAGCTGTGCCCTCTTGAGTCTTGTCCTGTCTTGTCCCCTTGTTTCGATTTCCAATTCCCTTTCGTTTAAATTCAAACTTTCCTTTCTCCCACTTCCATTCGATCGATCACAGAAATAAAAACTTGTCTCTTGCTCTCAAACCATCTCCACTTGAACTCTTCTCACTTCAATCACTTTCTTCCACCTATTCAATCCTCCATTTAACAATCGCCCTTTTCCACTTCGAACATCATAAATATGTCTGCCATGAATCTTGATCGCCCATTAGACGACATGTGGGTCTTATCTTATCTCGCCCCTCCTCTCGTGTTCTCCTTTTGTTGACATCTCTTATCTTCTCCTCTGTAGCATCTCTGAAAAACGCAAGCAACGCCGTCCGGCAGCTGTCGCTCGTCGCGGTGGTAAAGCTAACCATACCACCGGGCCCATGTAAGCTTTGAATATCTATCCTATCATTCCCTATTTCTCTCGTTCGTACTCATTTTTATGTCTTCACCTTAAACTCGAAGTCGACACGGTCGCACTACCACTCGACCCCAACCTGTCGCGATGGCGGCCCCTGCGGCCAAGATCCTTCAGCTTCCCGCTCAAATGGGTCAAGGCAGCAAGATCATCGTGTCGAACTTGCCTACAGATGTGACTGAGAATCAAATCCGAGAACTTTTCTCTACTACTGTCGGTCCAGTGATGAAAGTTGCCCTCAGCTATGATAATCGAGGTCAATCAAAAGGCACGGCCCAAGTCGAATTCAAGAGAAATGACGATGCCACAAAGGCGTTTCAACAGTACAACAAGGTCTCTTCCTACTTTCGTTGTTTCTCTTCTAGATCCTCATCACTGACCATACATCTTTCCCTTTTGTCCAGCGCCTTATCGACCAGAGTTCGTTCTTTTTCTCTTTTAGATATTTCTGTGCTGAGGTTTCTGCATAGGCCTTTCAGTTTCCTTGCTCGCCTCATTGGAGGAGTTTTTATCCGCCCGCCCGCATGCTTCCATCAGGCCATTGACACTAGCCTACCAGAGTCTTAGAACCCACGTGATATCGGTCCAGCCTCATGGTTCTCGCCGATCTGATAGTCATATTGATGCCACGAAGACTTGTGCCTCACTGGCCTTGGCTCATCGCTCAATGATATTCACGCACGGACTAGCCAGCGCATTGTACCTATGACGACTCACTGGCTATCCGTTGTCCAACAACTTGTTGCTACGTGCGACTTTTGTTCAAGCTCAAGGGCAAGCGTTATTTTGACCGAGGGTCAGAAGCTTGAAGAAAGGTCTTTTTGTCGATTGTTCGATAGCTGCGAAGAAAATCATGACTACCGGCGCACCCCTACCTTTCCGCTTTCGCTGGCGCGCTACCACTTGGACCTGAACAAAATCAGTGTACTGATAGACCTTGACCCCTCTTGCATCACCTCATCTCTACCAAATTTCACAACACGACTCGTACCCTCAAACCTTCATATACTTCACATCATTGTACGTTTTAGATCGACCCATGAAAGTAGAAATCATCCTCGACCCTGCTCGCATTCCACCTCCGCCTTTGTCAACTCGCGTGGCTCCTGCTCCTAAGCCAGCTGTTTCCGTCAGGTGATTAAGATCTCAATATTTTACAATTGAAACCCACACCGTTTCCTAGTTCTTGGGAAACTCTTTGTGATCATTGTCGGATTGGGGGAGATTCTCGTCCTCAAAGCCATTGCCCATACCTTCGGGTCGATACTTACTACAACTGCTCTGTTTCTTGAATCCGCTTTTGTCAATATTGCATTCCTACCTACTCAAATCACACCTGGTACATCAATACACTACGCTACTGGGTCACCTTGCGATTAATGAAATTAGGCAAGCTGCTCCCGCTGCCGGTCAGCCACGTCGAACCGGAGGCAAGCCACGAGGCAAAAACAACAAGCAACCACCAAAATCTGCCGCTGATTTGGACGCTGAGGTCTGTCGCCGTGTCGTCGCTCGCCATGCATAGTGATACTTATTTGGTTTATTTATCAGATGGAAGACTACCAGAAAGCCAAGGAATAAGCGTGCAACGATGCTCTCGTGTCCGCAGAAAGTGAGCCATCTCACTAGCTCATATCTGTTCTCACTTGTCCTGACGTGTACATTGCTTCTTAGAATCGAACACCCTACGTCAAGTATCTGACAGTTTTTCTCGCACATTCATCTTTGTGCGTCCGAGGTGCATGGAGATCACGTCGTCAAGACTTGTTTTATGAGACTCTAGAAAATCAATCGTGCTTCCTCATACCTGCGGCCCTGTTACTTTCAATTTTGTTCTTTGTCTGAATCCACGAAATGTATTTTCTCTTTGCGTTTGAATGGTGATCATGATCTTTCATTTCGGTCATTGTACTCATGCTCAATTACTGCTGACCCCCCACATCTTTTCGAACCGTAAAGACTTGAAGCTATTCAATTGGTGCTTTGATACTTGCACGTTGTCTTGACTAACTACTAGGAGCGCATTAGCGAAATGTGATTCTATTAATGACTTGTTATCTGTACCATTGATTGCGGTTGATTGCGCCAACTCAGTGTGACCTCCCATCTATAGGGATCTGCTGCCATTTGGTCGAGGTGTCCACAGCTCATTCTAGCGCCCACAAAGTGTGATGTGCTACCTCTTATGTAATGGCTGACAACACAATTTCTACATTTTGAGCGACCTGTCCCCCTCCACGCTTGATCATAGGGACTGGGCGAAGTTCGGACGAGCACAGGATTTTGCCACCTGAATTAGCGCAAGTATAGCAAGGAAGTTGTCCGAAGAGATTTAAACAGGAGGAACATATCACTGACCTTTCGCATGTCCAAGTGCCCCGTTCAAAATCTCATTGGGATGACAAAGCTGAGTCCGGGTTCATTCCCAAGGCCATATTCCCACAGACCCGATTGCTTGCTCAACTTCTATAGGATGTTCCAACGTCTATCTCGCAAGGGGTTCTTCATGAGGACCCCAACCCAAAGGTACAAACTTCCTTTTTGGGCTCCCCCGTGGGCACCACCACCGGAGAGCTCAGGGCCACAGCCTTATCTGTGAAAGGTATATCAGGCAATCCTGATGCGGTCAGCCTAAGGCTTGTGGCTGAGGAGTAGGAAGTTTTGGATTGGAGAGCCCATCAGATGATGGCAACCGGCTATGCGCCACCCTATTTTTTTTAGTCTCATGAAGTTGACTAATAAAAATAGGGAATTTTGATATTGATTCAACAGGGGCTGGATTGCTTGCGATAGTATTTCAACTACGGTTGAATTGGATTTTTGCAGCGCTTCGCCCAGTCCCTCATGTGGCGGACATGTGGAGGCTTGTGACGTGGGTATGCCTCATGCTGAACAGCACGTGATGTGAGGTAAAACAAGGAGGTACATACAACTGGAACATGGCACCGAGCTCTGTAAATACCGAGTGCGTGATATGCTGCAAGGCCAGATGCGTGCATGATGTGCTGCAGAAACTAAATGCGTGGCAGCGTGCGACCATGTCTGACCAAAAGCCCGAGGCTCGACCCGGTAGTGCTGACTAATCCCGAAGAGAAGACCCGGCGGGGTATCTGGAAGAGGTCAACCACCAATGAACTCGATAGATCTTCCGGAACACCGAATCCCACACCTAAACCAACAAAAACAAAAGAAAAAAGTCGATCAATCAATCAATCAGATATTTTTTTAAAAAAGAAAAACTCAATCAAATCCAAGAAAAATGAACATCTCATTAATAGCCAATCGATTAAGATTATTATCATTAAACAAATTACAAAGTGAAATTTTTCAAACTACATATAATCCACATGAATTACGTATAGGAGAAAAATATTTAAATCGAAAATTAAAAGGACATTTGATGAGATCATATTATCCACCTATTAGACCGGTGAATTGGAAAGAAACTAATTTGATTTTTTTAAACACTGCTAAAGCTGAAGGAATTACTGGTAGAGATTTAGAGTATTGGAAATTACCTGATTTAAGAGAAGAAAAAAGGTAATGGATTCATACAATATATATATTTGTTTTAGAAAGTTTTTGATTAGGAAGTGGGGTTTTTTTGATTGATTGAAAAATGGGTTTCTTTTTTTTGGTTCGGGGTTTGGATTGTTTTTAGATTGGATCGGGTTGCATATAATAAGAAAAGAGGAAAGGGACCACCTAAGAAAGGAGAAGGGTAAATGATTTTTTGTTTGATTTCTTCGTCTTTCAAAATGATTGATCATGATTTTGGATTTTTTTTTGGGATTTGAATTCAAATAGACGAAGAAGTCAACTTAAGAAACGAAAGTAAAGTTTACAATGAAGTTTATCAAAAAAACGAAAACAAGTTCAGATTCGTTGGTCGTACTTCTTTCAATATCACTTCAAAGTTGAATTCAAAAAGGTATTCAAGGTTTAACTTTGGATGATTTGATGGTGAATCAATCGCAAGTTGGAAATTAGTTTTATCACTTCCAAGTCAACTACCTCATTGATCATTCACCTACAACACTTCATAAAGATCTTGAAGATTGTTAATCAAACCAATAAATTCCAAATCATGTAGTCAACTTTTTTTCCTTACAATCTTGGGAAAGATATAGGTATACTATTTTACTTTGGAATAGGTTGTAGTTATCAATAAAGATGTAATTTTTTTTTCTTGAGTAAGATTGATTGAGTATTAAGTTTTTTCTTTGTTGTTGTTGTTGAGAAGATAAGTTAGTTGAAGATTTTTACAAGATTCATCTGGTGATAGTCTTATGAAATTAAATCGTATCTTATACTTCTGATTACATTTTTCAGTTCATATGGTTGATTTAGTGAAAGAAATGACTAGTTTTAATGTTTTTGAGTGCACTGCAATAGATACTAATGTATTTTTTTTTTTCAATGAAAGGGTGCACATCCTGAAAAAACTGGAAAATCCCACCTGGAAATCTTCATGTAAATCTTTCACATCCAAACATCAGTCATATTGTAGATGAGGATGAATGAGATTTATGTCACCTCTACGTACTGTGTTGCGCCTTTCATAGCAGTAGTTAAAGTGGATGTCGGGGCTGCTATGAGCAGGTAAGGTGTTCATCTGATTTCATCTCGATTCATCTGAGATTACACTACATTTACATACACATACACACCCTATTCCTCACAAGTCCCCACTCACCCCTCGACTCAAGTTCACTACCAATCCACAAAAACTCGTCAACGTCATCCCTCTTAACTATTCCCCAAACTTGCAACATGGGACAAAACCGAAAACAACTATGTTCGAACGAATCTAATGAGAAGGAGTCAACTAAACGTACACGCGTAACGAAAGCTGATAAAGAAGCCGAAGAAGCCGAATTCGCCAAACAAGTCGAAGCAGGCAAACGCTTTTTCGCTGGTCGTCCCATCCACCCTCTCAATGACAATGATGATAATGATGTCAATTTAAACAAAACCAATTTAATTCATGATAATTTCGATAATGATTTAAATTTAGATGAACATGATCACGAGTTACAGTATGGTGATTTTATGCCATTCGGTGGTTTACGGCGTCCAGATCACATTGTCCGCATAGAGGAATTCATTTCTCAACATCGTGGATATCGATACGCACGAGCTCGTGAAGATCTTCGACAGAACTGGGAAGCTATCAAAAATAAAATGACTGCGGCCTATCTCCAGTCTCAAACCATAACTTTGAACTGGACCACCAAGGCATGCTACCTCAACGATGTGAGTGATGACTGCAAGTGCAGAGAGTCGCAGTTTCACTATCGAAACGTGGACCTAATTGACGTAATGTGTGAGTTTCTGAATAACTGAAGGGTGTCAACTTATACTGATGTCATTTGCATATGTAGCTCGGTCAGTGTCGAAGCCAGTTCGGTTCTGTTCATGCCTCCCCGAAGCGGTCCAGCTTGTTTATCAAGGTTTCTTTCCATCATCTCCCCAGCAACCACGAACAGCCTTCTCGATTCCTTTGGTACAAGCTTATCACTCCGTCTGGGAAACGTCAGTGCCTCCGAGTTCAAGCTTCATCAACGGTTGGTGCAACTTCCTCGACCGTAGATCCAAAAAGCCGCTACTTGCTCGAGCTTCTTGAGGAAATCGACGAGACTTGACTCAGCCATTCTCGAACGCAACCCATCTCTACAGCCGCATTATTGTCTTATCAAACAGCATTCTTCAATACGGTCTGGAACTTACCACCATTGATCAATGGGCTGCTCGATGTAGCCGCTGCTTTGGTCCTTCAAAAGACGAAGTCAAGGTATCGGATGAAGAACCTGATGTTATTGTATGCATGGACGGGAATTTTCAGCACCAACATAATATATTGGCAAGCAAGGATAATTCGGAGGAAGCACAATACCCTGCCATATTCATGCGACCTTCAGAAATTGCGAAACAAGAAACCACCACCGCACTACCACGACCAGCAGCTCCAGCCACAGATGAAGATGTAAGCCATTAATTCAAATCATATTAGTCGATTGATGGATTCACAAAGACTGATTAAAACTCAAGGTTAGGATCCATGTGGTGAAGCGCACAAGACTGCGAATGATACTCGGGGTAAATCAACTTGGGATCAATGCGACGATACAGGACTTTTTGCCATGTCCTGCAGGCATGATGTACCATTATTACTGGCTAATATATATCAAAGTGGTGAAAAGTACGTTTTTTTCTCTCATTCATATCACTTCAACCACTTTATTCATCCTGCTTATACATTTTCACCACCCAAATTCGCCAACAGGATGTATTACCCTCTAAGCCTGCTGCAGTCGCTAATGGACGACTTTCCTGATCTAAGGGTGGCCGTTCTATACGATATTGGGTGCGTGCTTGACAAGCACATCACAAAGGTGAGTAAGTGGTATGAGTGTTTACTTGTTTTTATTTTAATACTGATTACTCAATATCTGATAGCAAAACAAATTACCAGAATATCAACGTCGACTAATGTTAGGAACATCGGTGTTCCACGTGTATGTCCACACGTGGGGGTGTCAATTATCTTACAACCCACGGTTCCTGGAGTTTTGGGGACTATCAGATGGTGAAGGACTCGAGCGCTTGTGGTCGGACCTAACACCTCTTATTGCTCGATTACGGACTTCAACTCAGCTACACCGACTCCAACAGATTGCCGCAAGATGTGTATACCTGACTAATCGAAATCAAATGAGCTCGGCTAGCTGGCTACTACGGAGATTAAATAGCGCAAAAAAAACGATACAAGAGGCACAGCGTACACTAGACACGTGGTGCAAAGTTGCTAATCGATACCAACCCGGACACCTTTATACACCCGAGTTTTTCCGAGACCAGTGGGCATCTGAAAGAAGTTACAACCTCAGAATGTCGAAAGAGGTCAAGATTCGACAAAAGGTCCAGCTGGGAAGGCTGCTGTGCCTGCAAGATCTCATGTATAAGACTTGGTGAGGTTAAGCAGTTTACTCGGATCAAATATTTCAATACACTGAAGTTGCTTTTCAACTCAGGGATGAACACACCGGCCTAGAACTCCAAGCTTTTGATCGCCTAGCTAGATTCCAGGATCTAGCAACTCAGATCACTGAGCTGCGTAGCAAAGTTGGTCTTTCAGATACTTTGACAAGCCTCTCTGGTAAGATTGGATTCTTTAATAAGAAAACCAATAATTCAAAACTGATAATGTAACTTCCAACGATCTTGATTAGCTGCTGGCCAGGATTGTTTCTTGAAAGTCTGGTATGCCAAAACTGAGGTTTGGAGTCGATTTCTATCTTTGCGGGCGGAACAGAGACCGTTAGATCCTGAAAACAGAGTAGGTGGAAGTTCACGTCTTGGTAAGCATTTGTTTTGATTTAAATATGATCAAGACATGTAACTGACTACCCTTCTGGCTTCTAGGTACACATGAGAAAGAACGTATCATGCTCGCTATTCAAAAACAAACACGCACGATGAAAAGCACCCTCGGCAATTATAACATGCTGGCTCGTGAGTTTCAAACTCTATACCCCGACCACTCCACCTCTCCTCCAGTTGAATATACGGACTTGATCAAGATGGAGGCCGACGACCCTTTCTGGAACGACGGGGTTTTTACTCACTCCAGTGAGCCCTGGGCCGTTGATCATGGCACGCAGATGGGGATGTGAGCGTTGGCGAGGGTACAACGCGGTCAGGAGGAGGTGCGACGACTTGGGTGGGAAATACGAAGAGCCATGCGATGGCTGACACACGAGCACCAGCGTCTGTGGAATATTCTCACATATCTGAGAGATTCGGATGACAATGATGCGGGTGAGGTAATTCAATCAGAGTTTATCAATAAATTCATACAACACGAAGCACTTGAATCATTATCAAACGGCAGCAGAATCGATGTTGTCAAAGGTATGGTTCATACTGCCTTTGTGAAAATCAGCATGTTGACCATCCATTGGGATCAGAATGCTATGGAGGTAATCATGAGAACTCCATCTCAGTTGGGTGATCTCGAACTTATGACATTATGGAAATCTCAATGCAATCGTATTGATAATCTACGTGCATCAGATTGTGCGTCAACGACAGATGGGGACTTTGTAAACCTCTTTGGACCGTTAAGGGTTGATGACCGGTTAGAGCAGCCTCTGGCAAATATCAATCCCCCACTTCTGGATGATTTATCTGATATTGAAGAGGCAGATTGGGAAAATTTGCTTGATGAAGGAATGCTCTTAAACATGATGAAGAATGTTGCGTTGGAAAATTAGTATTTTTGTGTTGTACTCTCCTTATTTTACTTGTTGTACATTGTATATGTTGTATGTTTGATTATAAATAAAATAATCATGAATGGTTTTGGGCAATATTATCATAGATTTTGTGAATTGTTTTTGGTGCTTGAGTAAGTGAAAATAGTACACTTTTTGAGATTTGAGAGTCCATTTCCAAGGTGAAGATGATGATATTTGGCCCAAAGTCATTAACAAAAGTTGTCCGGGGCGCAGGAAAGCACCTTGGTCAAACATGCATTCACCCAAAAGGCATCAACTTCAATGACTTTAGGTGGTTTTTGGACGTGAGCAAGATAAAATAGTACCTAATTTGAAATCGAATTTGATTTTTGAGGGTGAAGATGGGGAGATTTCGGAAAAGTTGATTAATGAAAGTTGTCGGGCGTATGGCAAAGCATAATTATCCAAGAAGCAATCACCCAAAAAGCATCATCTTCAATGTCTTTGGCTAGTTTTTATACGTGAGCAAGATAAAATAGTACAGTTTTTGAACTTGAGTTTACATTTCAAAGGTGAAGATGTGGAGATATGACAAAAAATCATTAATGAAAGTTGTCCGTCGTGTCGTAAAGCACCGTTTCCAAAGGACCATTCACCCAAAATACATCATCTTCAATGACTTTGGGTGGATTTTATACGTGAGCAAGATAAAATAGTACAGTTTTTGATCTTGATTTTACATTTCGAAGGTGAAGATGTGGAAATATGACAAAAAGTCATTGATGAAAGTTGTCGGGCGTATGGTAAAGCACCTTTACCAAAGGACCATTCACCCAAAAATCATCATCTTCAATGACTTTGGGTGGTTTTTGTACGCGAATAAACGAAAAACCTACATTTTTTGATCTTGATTTTACATTTCAAAGGTGAAGATGTGGAGATATGACAAAAAGTCATTAATGGAAGTTGTCGGGCGTATGGTAAAGCATAATTGCCAAAGGACCATTCACCGTTTTTCCCACATCTTCAGTGTGTTAGAGTAGATTTTGTACTAAATTTTGTATCAAAAACCTTGTAAAGTCTTTTTTGAGAAATTTCACGCAAGTCATGTTGCTATAACCTGATACTAATTTGACCACAAAGTTGGTCTAAAAACATCAATCACATTCCAAAAGTGGGAATTTGGCACTTTGGTTCTCTGGTAAATGTACTTTCCTACACTCCGGACATGTTTCATTATTGACTTTTTGTCATAACTCAACATCTTCACCTTGGAAATGTAAAATCAAGATCAAAAAATGTACTATTTTATCTTGCTCACGTATAAAATCCACCCAAAGTCATTGAAGATGATGTATTTTGGATGAATGGTCCTTCGTTAAAGGTGCTTTACGACACGACGGACAACTTTCATTAATGAAATTGTTTCATATCTCCACATCTTCACCTTCAAAACGTGACTTCGATTTCAAAATAGGTGCTATTTTCTGTTTGTCACGTACAAAAATCACCCAAAGTCATTGAAGTTGTTGCATTTTGGGTGAATGCTTCTTTGTTAACTATGCTTTGTCATACGCCCGACAACTTTTATTAATCAACTTTTCCGAAATCTCCCCATCTTCACCCTCAAAAATTTACTTCCATGTCAAAATCGGGGTTTTTTTATTCCTCCCAAGGACAAAACCCACTCAATCTCACTGGAGATTATGCTTTTTGGAGAATTGCTTCTTTGGAATATGTGCTTTAGGACATGGCGGACCACTTTCATCAATGACTTTTGGTCATATCTCAACATCTTCACTTTCAAAAATCGAATTCGATTTTAACAACTACCCCAAAACAAATTCATTTCTTGTATTTCCGTTTTGAATTTCTAAACAACAAACTTTACAATATAAGGTAAAGGAACTAACATCGAGTCACAGTACGAGACAAAAGTGGATATAACAAACGTTTTGATGAAGACAGCAGCAAATCTTGTGTATGTAGCAGTACGTTTTGACAAAGACGATATAACAAACATTTGGATGAAGACAGTCATCAGATCTCGTGTATGTAGGATGAGCTCATATCAAGATACAAGTACAAAAAGAAGACAAGGCATATAGGATATAGGATAACTAAATGAAATATAAAAACCCTTGTGGCACCTACACAAGAAAGGAAAAAAGACTCATTCATTCACCCTGAGTTGTGCTGAAAGTTGGGTTTCGTGACGGCTTACAAGAACTATTTTTATTTATTGTGGCAACCACAGGTGCACTCTTTGCAGGTACAACATATGACCTTGTTCGAGGTTGATGATCCGCTCGATCTAACCAACGTTCAAAAAAGAAAAATCATACATCAAAAGTTTGTTATGGTAGTACGGTATCAGTATGACTAACACTGCTGGGTTGATGTTGGACACGGAACCGGTTGGAAGAGCATCAGTCGTCTTCTTCGTTTGTCTGTTTGTTCAAACAAATCAAAAAGTGAATAAATTGAGAAAATTAAAAAAATCGAAGGAGATCAAAACTTACACAAAATTTGGTTGAGCTAAACTCGGATAAAGAGCCAAAACACTATAAACACTGGTACGGCCATGCCTTTTGAAATGAACCAGACGCCAGTCGTTGTGATGTTCAGCTACGCTAGGTGAATCCCTTTTAGTGCATAAGAACTCGGAGTGTCCAAATTGGCCACAGTGTTTGCATTGCCTAACCCAGTCTCTAACTTCGGGTAGAGCAAGCTCTTTTATAAACGGAAGGGACTTTTTGAAAGTTTGATCTCGGCTGACTTTGGTGGTACTCGGTTTTGCTTTGGGTCCTGGTGATAAGAATGAATAGTGTCTAATTGGCGAAGGAGTTGATGTGACGATGGTCATAGGAGAATCAATCGAACGAGAATCTTCAATCAATAGATCCTTGGTCGGAATGGCCAAAGTACAGTCTTTAGCTGTTAGATCAGTCGTTTTCGCGGCCAAAGGAGAGTCAGGAGAGTGTTGAATGAACAGGTCTTCGGTAGGGGATGATGATGGTGATGGAGATGGAGGTCAAAATGCTACTTGAGATGAAGGTGGAGTTTGAGACGGATGAGTATGAGATGGTTGAGATGATGGTGGCAATGAAGGAATAGTGTGAATGGTGACCATATCGGAACGCTACAAGTCAAAGGTAAGTGAGAAATCGATGTTCACGTTGAATGAGGTGATTTCAAGTAAGAGAAAACTAACTACGATATCCGATTCGAAGGAATTGAAGGAATTGAAGGAAAAGATGTGAAGGCTGGTTGGAGATGGAAGAAAAGAAAGAGCATCACGATTGAACTTATATATCAAAACGAAATGACTTGTTCTATACGTCTCACAGGTCATCATCGCCGATATCGGATGGAGGGATTGTGTTGTTGGCCAAGCATCAAGTCACACATTAATGATTATGAACTATGTTCGTTCATCATAACATGCAAGTAAGCTGAGCTCACGTTTTTCAACTTACCCAATATTGTTTTTCAACTTACCAAATATGAATCTTATCTTTAAACGATATAAATGATGAGGCTTTGGGAGGTAATAAGGACAAACACCGAGATCAATATAAACAATACAAATCTCAGTAATCAATTGACCGATCAATTTCAAGACATGCATGTGAAGCAGGATATAAATTTCTCTCAAGAACAACACAACTTTATTTCGGAAGACACGAAGACATAAAAAAAAACCTATTGTGGAGATGATAAACAAGACTATTACAAAGGTTTTCTAAATCAAACGGTTGCAAACAACATGGGGTCTACATTAAGTCCGCGGCGCTCCATGATATCAGTGTTAACACGATTGAAACCGTTTGAAAATCCATTTTGGATATCATTTTGAGTTCGATTTAATGTATGTATTTGGTTGTCTTGAGTTTGGTCGAGGATATCAGTACTGCTGTTGGTTTGAGGTTGGTGGCTTCTGTTAGGACTGAAGTCAGGTTGGGTTTTGCTGAGCTGAATATCGGCTTGAGTTTGTATTGGGACCAATTGGATTAAGTTTGCTTTGAGGTCCGCATCGAGGGCAGCAACTTTGGCAGCGTTGAGGTTGCTGCTGGGCATCTTGAAGGTTGATTTGACAGATCGTGCGCCAGGGAGTAATTTTAATTGCCGTCCGGCCGCGGCAAGGGTAGCATTGCATTTGCTCCAGGGCCAGTGCTTCAAGCCCACAGTATCAACTATATCATAACCAAAGACCAAACGTGTAAGTAAATATCCATATCGAGTTCAGTTTATTGTAGACTTAAGCTTACATACATAGTAATCTTGAGAGGGCGTGGACCACTTTTGCTTGCTTTCTTTCAGTGCGCTCTGCCGATAAGAAGATAACCAAATAAGCTACCGGAAGTGTTTAATGTATTTGTAAACTCACCGGCTAGTCCAATTGCAAGACTATTGGGTTCTTTCCCCACCAAAAAAGACTGCAACTGCGCGGGTAACTTATTGATACCATCGGACTCATAGATGACATTGATTGCTTTATTGAGCCCGACAGTGTTCCGAGTCACTTGAAAGTGGTGCTTCCCGATGTGGTTGGAGACCGCTATAAGTATCATCTCGAAGTGATTGGATTTTGCTATTGAGATGCACTGTAACTCCCTCAGATGATAAGTGATTTGAGATAAAAACAAAATGAGAGGGAAAGAAAGTGCTTACCTTGGCTAAAGTTTGATCCAATAACTTTTCAGCGGTCTCTTTGTACTTTTTAAGGCAGCGTGGATTGGTCAAGATGTTGGTGCAAGATTGATGGTCAGGAGAATCGTGATTCACATCGCTGGTGTCATTTGCATTGAGGTTGTTGGTAATGCCGTCCTGAGTGTTGGTAATGCCGTCCTGAGTGTTGGTAATGCCGTCCTGAGTGTTGGTAATGCCGTCCTGAGTGTTGGTAATGCCGTCCTGAGTGTTGGTAATGCCGTCCTGAGTGTTGGTAATGCCGTCCTGAGTGTTGGTAATTTCGTCCTGAGTGTTAGAATGACCTTCACGAGTGTTGACGTTGGCGATCTGAGAAACTTTCTGGTAAGACGCTTTCTCTTTCTTGTCGAATGTGGCCCACTGAGCGCTTAGACGTCGCATAGCCTCCCCATCACCAATACCGCCAGCTAATTATATGGAAAAGGTAAGGTATAAACTTGGGTAAACGAATTAACTATGTGAAGGGATAACTTGCCTGCTTTGAAAACGGCCTTTGCCAACTCGCTTTGGAGAAACCCATTCCAAGCTGATGGTTGACGTACCCCTAGATACTTGCCACTAGTGAAGCGTTCAAATCAGATGTCGAAGCTTAGTATGATTTAAAATTTGAAACCATATGTATAGGGAAAAACTCACAATACCTCTTCCATGGTAGATACAGTGATGCCTAGTTTGAGTGCTTTGATAGCTTTGAGGGTTTCCATCTCTTCGTGAAACTTTAAGACGGAATGGAGTACTGCTTGAGTCATACCGCTTTGAGCGTGCAGTTCTGCTAGAGCTCGGAGATCGATGCTACTCATGTTCATGGCTACAATGTCGGCCACGTTGACAGACGGGGTGTCGTTGGATGGTTTGCCTTTCTTGTTGCTCTTGTTGTTTTTGTTACTCTTCTTACGCTTGCGTTTATCATTCGTGGCTGACGTTGCATGCACAACACTTGTTGGATGATTACCAGTAGTTTGAGTAGACGAAACACGCTGCTCGAAAGAGTCTGCAAGGGATTCAAGGTTGGACACGACTTGACTTCCGGTTAGTGTAGAGCTTGTTGGTAAGTTGGGGATCGACATGTTGGGTTGTATGAGTTGAGTAAGATGAAAAAGGTTGTGGTGGAACTTTGAAGTTGTGAACTTTGAAGGTGAACCTTGTAGGTTTGGCTCGGTAGTGAACTTGAGTCGAGGGGTGAGTGGGGACTTGTGAGGAATAGGGTGTGTATGTGTATGTAAATGTAGTGTAATCTCAGATGAATCGAGATGAAATCAGATGAACACCTTACCTGCTCATAGCAGCCCCGACATCCACTTTAACTACTGCTATGAAAGGCGCAACACAGTACGTAGAGGTGATTTATGTATGACTATGAAGGTAGGATGTGTGTAGTAAAATCAAGTGAAGTAATCAAAAGAAAGCTTCTCAGAGTGTTTGTACCGTGGATACTGTTGAGACATTGCGGTGTGGAAGAATTTGAAGAAACAATTTTTTGGATTATTGTAAGATTGTATAAGGAATCCTCTTGAGCTTCAAGTTCTAGAGGTTGATCATAAAGGGTGCAAAGCTCTCATGTAAGCTTTTTCTTGAGATTTGAGAATGCAACTGAATTTGAGGGAATGTTAATAAGGGGGCTCAAGTCAAATTTTTTACGGCCCTTTCGTAAAAAATTGGGGAAAGTTTTTTACGTTACGGTACCGTAAAAACTTTTCCCAATTCGTAAAAAAGGGACGTAAAAATCTCTTTACCGCTTCTCAAATCTCAGTCATAAAACCAATTTTCTTCCGATCTTTTTGTTTTGTTCACATCGGACACTTCACCATGGTTCGGGTTTCACAGCATCAACAAACGATCGAAGAAATTACCCACCTCTACCAAACTACCGAATTCCTAGCCAATGAAGCCCTTATGCAAGAACTCTTCCTGGGAGCTCCAATCATACCATCGATGGGTACGATCTTATACGAAGATGATCAAGAATCAGCCGAGCTATTCGATATCTTATTCAATGAACGAGACGGGCTGAAGACTCTACTTCAAGTACTTCATGACTTACGCTATCATGAAGAACGCCATCGCATTCCTTATGATACTCCCTTCAACATCAACGATCTGCTTCGCTCACGTCGGACTGAGTTTCGGCAAGCTATGAGAACTACCCGAGGTGGCTTTGATGCGCTACTTGAAAAGATATCACCCCATCCTATCTTCATATCACCCACCAATAATCCTCAACCACCAATCAATAAACAACTAGCCATCACCTTGGAACGCTTAGGAAGTTGTGGGAATGGAGCTTCCATTGGACGCTTTGCTCGAAATTTCAAGTCATCGATTGGCGGTATCATCAATTGTACTCGTAGATGCCTGTTGGCCATCAAAGAAAAATGTGCTCATTACCTCCAATGGCCCGGTCCCAAACGACGCCAGGAAATCTCCCAAGTCATGGCACTCGAAGGTTTCCCTGGATGTGTTGGATTCATCGATGGAACAACCTTCCCTATGTATCGAAGACCTGGTTACGATGGTGAAACTTTTTTTGATCGAAAGAAACAATACTCGATCAACTGTCAGGTTGTTTGTGATTGCGACCGTCGAATCACAGCTTTTTACACGGGGTGGCCTGGCTCATGTCATGACAATCGCATGTACTCACTTATGAGCCTTTACAAGAATCCCAATCGATGGTTGAGCCCAGGTGAGAACTTGATTTACACATCTTCACTTTGTCTTTTATTTCCTTTCACAGTACTGACAATCGATTCATTTTAGATCAATACATTTTAGCTGACTCGGCCTACCAAATCAGCAATACACTTGTTTCAACTTACAAAGGCAATGCAGCAGATGTCCCACGAAATTCTGAATTCAACCTCTACGCAGCACAGGCTCGGGTGAGAAACGAGCACTCCATTGGAATCTTGAAAGGTCGGTTTGCATCATTGCAAGACATGCGATTGCAATTGAATGTAAAAGAAGATATGGAGTTCTTTCTCGACTGGATTCATGTCTGTATCTTACTTCATAACATGTTAGCTCAATTAGGGGATGCTTGGGAAGAAGAGTATCAAGATGACACCGAAGAACAAATTGATGAGATGGCAGTGATGCGTTTAGATGTTGATATAGGGGCAGAAAATAGTGATGCTGGTAATCTAAGAAGAGAACTTGTGCGTGATTATGCTGTAGCTTTTAATGATAGTGAATGAATTATAGTGTTTCATTTTCAAATACTGGTGTATCTGATCAACACGGAAAAATTATAGTGTACATCTTATTGTTTCTGTTTGACTCAACAAACTCCACTTAAGCTTTGTATACTTTTTTGTTATGTTTGGACTCGCATCTTTTAATGATCATTGTGTCATTTATTGATTACTCTTTGTCAATATCAAAAACTAACAAAAAGAAATACATAGTATGATTACCTCCAAACCAACTAAGAAATGTTCATTTGCATAGAAAAAATTACAAATCGTTTTTGAATCAGATCTACAAGTCTCTAGCTTTGAAGACATACAAAAGAAATCAGACTGTCATACAATACATTTTGCTTGGTTGAGTAACAAATACTGCTGAATTAAAATTTGCTCGCTCATTTTTGAATGAGGCTTTTTCTTTGAAATCTCGAATTTCTAATTTACATAATAATTTTGTTCTTCTATAATTGAGGGACCGGATTTTAGGATAAGAGTAAAGCCTGATGATGATCACAAAAGAGATGTGATTGTCAGACAAATGTGCATCAAAGTCAAATCTGTAGAATAAGAACTTACTTTGGCTGATCTATCAAGTGGTAGGAAACATCAATTCGATGTATGCCTTAGTATCTTCAATTGACATCCCATCTTTACGACACTCCTTTACTGCCTCTCGTTGTTCTCTTCTTTTGTCTTCAGCTGATTTAGCTGAAGCAAGCTTCAAATCACAATCACATTGAGCTTCAGCGACCCGAGCTTCGCGTTCCAAGTCATCTCGCTTTATCTGAGCCATCCGGGCGGTTTCCAAGTCAAATTTCTCTCTTTCCCAAACGATTTTCTGTTTTTCTTTAAGTTCTTCTTCTATTTCTTTTTCTTTCATCTTTTCATTATAAAATTGCATTGTCGATGTTTGAGCCTGCATCATTGCATTCGCCACTGGCTTCTTACGTCGAACATCATCTTCATTCACGGGTGGCAAGGGTTTTAATGGTCGATCTGCAACAGCCTTTGAAGCCTTTGAAGCCTTTTCAGTTTTTCGGGTTTTCGGTTTTGGAGTGGATCAAGACTGTAGGTCAGGTTCTTCTTCGATTTCTTCCTCTGAAAGATCAATCGGGGATTGTAAGTTGGCCTTACGCTTGATGCTTTGGCGAGGAGGTAGAGCTTGTTGATCAGGCTGTATGTAAATTGGCTCCTTGATCTCATTTGAAAAGTCAGGTGAATTGGCGTGTAAGAAGTCTTGAAGGTTATCGGGGTGTTGTTGAGTTTCATCGTCTTCATCATCAAATTCCTTCAAAGAGGGTACAGGCGATTCAATCTCATTTTCAACATCTTCGAGCTCTTCAATATGTGCTGCCTTTCTCAAAATTTCAGTTGATGACAATATGTTTTCATCTTCATGTTCAGATGATTCCTCAGAGTCCTCATCATCCAAGCCCGCCTCTAAATCCATGCTATCGCGGATTGCACCTGGAGCCACGTTCGCCTTTTCACCAAATATTTTGTTCAATCTAAAGAACATCGGACACTGACTTTCTTGTTTTATTTCAATTGTAACATAACCATCAAGCAAGTCCTTCTTAGTTAAACCCTCACCAGTGTTCCTGTCCCAGTAATTTCGAGTTTCAATGTATTTAGTTTTGATTGTACCCCACCGTTTGCCAAGTGCACTACCATCAAGTGATAGCTTGTTTGAAGAATGTCTACCGTTTGCTCGAAGTCGATCATTATGTGAACTATTGACTAGAGTAGCAAAGATATTCCAGTGTGCCTTGCGACTTAAACCTCCCACTTTTGTTTTTGACCCAGCACCCATGAGATTTCTTTGATTAGACTCGTTTGAGATATAGTCAAGTACAAACTCGAGATCTTCTCGATCAAATCTTGCGCTATAGTTTGACGGGGTTGGCTGTGATAGACTTAGGTCAACCGCATTGGCTTTTTTCTTCGGAATCGTGCTAGTTTTTGGAGTAGGTCGACTAGTACTGGCCAAGACAACAGCAGTTTGTTTCTTCGGAATCGTGCTAGTTTTTGGAGTAGGTCGACTAGTACTGGCCAAGACAACAGTAGCTTGTTTCTTCGGAATCGTGCTAGGTTTCGGAGTAGGTTGACTGGTACTACTTGGATCTGCAGTTCCTTGTTCATTCTCATTTGCGACGATTTCTTTCATGATCTGTTTAGTTTTTCAAATATGATATTGGGTTATAGGTGTTCCAGGGGCGAGGTGAAGTAGCTCAGTACATTGCTGGTTGATCTCGGCTAGGCTGCGTCGAACCATCTTTGGTTGATTTTCTGAGACAAGTATAAAACAGATGGCTCGTGAAGTGGTCAAGAGGGATGGTGGTCAAGGAAGATGATGGTCAAGAGACCCATCTTATCTCATTTCAACTCTGGGTACCCGAAGGACCAGCTCGGATCTCCTTCTGAGCGTAAATTTACGCAAATTTACGGCTTAAAATAATTTGGGACATCGTATAACATTTCCCAAATTCATAAAATTTTGCGTAAATTTTATGAATTTGGGAAATGTTTTTTACGACAGAAGTTGTAAAAAAATTTGACTTGAGCCCCCCTAATATGAATTTTTGAAAGAATTGGTTTAAATTGAACTACTGCTGGTCACCCAAGACTGAGAGAATTTCCTGATCACAGTCATTGGGAAATTCCTTGATAGAATTGTATCAACTTGAGGGGCAAGAGAAGAAAGTTCATGTGTTTTGTCTTTATGGTTTATAACAGGTTTATAAGAGTTGGAAATGTATTATGAAATAAAGTGATTTGAATGAAACTATAGTTTTTTGATGAAATGATCCCAAGTGAAGAATCGAAGGAAAATAGTAAACAGTTCAACTTAATCGAAATCAACACTGCGGAGTAAATTAAACCAATCGAAAGAAAGAAAGAAAGAAAGAAAGATATCAAAAGGAAGATCAGGATCAAGTTAATGATTAAAATATCTTGAAGGAAAGTAAAAATACGATTGAAAGGAAGATCAAGAAGTTAAAAAGACGAAAAAGAAGAGAAAGTTAAAAAAAATGAAAGACGATTCAAACGATCAAAACCATCAAAACCATCAAAACCATCAAGAGTGAGTAAAACATTCACTATCTTTCTTTCTTTACCATTCATCAAAAGAAAACTAACAAAATACTATTTACCTTCACAGTCAATTCGAACTTAACCATCATCACAATACCAACTCAACTCAACCAACACATCCACAACATCAGCAACATCAGCAACATCAGCAAAGACAACAGCAACAACAACAACAACAACAACAACAACAACAGCAACATCATCAACAACAGCAGCAGCAACAACAACATCAACAGCAGCAGCAACATCAACATCATCAACATCAACAACAACAACATTCACAGCAAATCTTACAACAACAACAATTTCTACAACAACCACAGCAAATACTACATCATCAACAACAGCAGCAAATTCTACAACAACAACGACAACAACAACAACAACAACACTACCAACAGCAGCAGCAGCAGCAGCAACCACAACAACTCCAACATCAACAGAATCAAAGACAGATCACCTCAACAGAATTACCTAGAATACCTGGTTTCGATCCCGTAGCTATCCATGAAATATCTCAAATCTTACGTCAATCTAATAACAATCCACATTCGGTTCGTCTCTCACCAGCTCAAATCAACCTTTGGAGTCAATATCGATCAAAGTGTGAGAGTCCTTCTTTCAATTCATCAAGTACATCTCAACCTAAAGAACCCATACAACATCCATCACAACCACCTCAACCTTCAACATTTCATCAACAGCAACAATATAACCCAAGAATTGCTAATCCTCAAATCTCAAATCTCAATCGATCATCATTCAATCTTGGAAATCATCAAATTCCTAATGAAAATCGAATTCATCCTAATCACAATGGAATCAATCCCAATGGACAACCCAATCAACCTTATGAGAATCGATCATCCAACTTTCATCCTGCTGGAATTCAAATCAATCATGACAATCGATCATCTCTTAACCCAAACATCAATAACATCAATCCTAACGCAATCAATGAAACCCGATCAGCTTCCACCATCTACAACCTCCCGCCTCGATCAGCCAGTCCATTCACACCACCACCACCACCTATTCACAATGGTCACCATTCTCACTCACCTCCACATCATCCTAATCCTAATGAAACTATTACTGCCAATAGTACTCTTCATGATCTTCCTTCACCTCCTAAAACCTCAACTCATCCATCCGATCTACAATTATCATCATCATCACTTAACAAATTGCCGGAATCTTTGATGAGACCTTCTAGTTTTTCACGACCTCCCAATCGATTACCAGTTAGCTCTAGTTTTACTAAATTAGAAGATCTCCCACCTGGCCAAACATCACTACCTAAGCTCACTCCTATCGAACAAATTAAACTTACTCAATGGGTCAAGGCTGATCATCGATTTGAAGTTGAAGCTTTGAATGATCGAAACATGAGACGAAATCAATTACAAGAAATCGTTAAGGATGCTGCCACGATTAATCGACAAGATTGGATAGGAGAACGAACATCAAAACCCATGATGAATTCTAGGTATAAGATTCGAATGCCGATCGAGGACGAACGTGAGAAATCGATGGGAAAGAGAAAAGGTAGAGATCGATTGAAATTAAACAAAGATCAAATCAAACTTGTCTCTGAACGCGAGGAGCTCTTGGTACCTATTAGACTTGAACTTGAACATGAGCATTGGAAGTTGAGGGACACTTTTACTTGGAATCTCAAAGGTATGCTTCAATCTCTCTCTTTTGACCGACTGATATCACAACACTGACCTAAATTTATCTCTCTTTGCTGTGGTTGGATGAGTAGAACCAGTGGTAACACCTGAACAGTTTGCTTCACATCTGTGTGAGGATCTGATATTGCCAACACAGCATTTTTTACCTTTGATCGCAACTGCTATCAAAGAACAATTAGAGGACTATAAAATACATGCAAACTTCCATCAACACCAGTCAACAAAACAAAATGAAGACAAAAGTTGGTGGTCAATTTGGCGAGAGAATCCAAAACGTGTCAAACTTGATCATACACCAGCCATTCAGATGAATGGCGATGAAGATGAAGAAGAACGTGATGAAGATGAAGACGAAGTGAATGAAGAACTTCGAATTGTGATTAATCTTGATATCATTTCAGGTTCAGTTCATTTATCAGATCGATTTGAATGGGAAATTAGTGAACCTAATAACTCACCTGAAGAATTCGCTGAGATTTATATCAACGACTTGGGTCTATCTGGAGAATTCAAGTACGTACCTTCAAGAGGGTCTTGATTGACGTTCAATCACTCTCGAAAGATATAGATCTGATGCTTATTCTCTTTGGTCGTCTTCAGAACTGCTGTGGCACATTCGATCCGAGAGCAAATTGAGATCTATGTCAAGTCACTTGCCTTGGTCGAACATGTTCACGGATTACCAGTTCCCAATGATGAATTACGATATGCTTTCTTGACTGGAATTACTGATCCAATGCGAACAGCACCTGTAGCCGATGATCATACACCATTCCTGACACTCTTAACACCTGACGAATTAGATCGACAAGAAAAAGAACATGATCGAGAAGCTAGGCGTAAAAGACGTCAAACTCGTGCTCGTCGTGGAGTCACTTTGCCTGATCGAGATGCACCTAGAACGGCTAGGACGACCGTACCACGTCAAGGGCTGAAAATGGTCATGTCTTATATGGATGAAAATGAAGATACCGTGGTACCCGTACAACCTGTTGCTGAACCTTATCCAATCAAAGAGTCTATCGTCGAGCTACCTGATCCACCTGGTAAGGTATCCTTTTATCCATCTATGTGTAGCTGTTTCCAACTTGCTCTGATCTCATTCCAATTCCTAAATCCCAGAACATCATCCCAGGAAGATCTTGGCAAATTCAAAAGACCATCATTTGGTCGAACCCGTCTCGACCGGAGCGAGTACGCCGATCAAAGGTTCAGGACATCGTGCCTCTCGACGATTACGTGGAGCCACCGCGGATGTGGCACCATCGGTTGCAGATACACCACCCCCCCTTGCCAGTGCATCAACTCCAAAAGCCCTTGCAACCACATCAACGGATCATCAGCCAAGGAAAGAAGATGAGGCATCGAAGAATGAACCGAAAGAGCCAGTCACATTGGCAGGTGGAGCTAAATCGAATCGTCCAACGCGTGGATTCAACTGGGCAGCTCATGGCTTACATGATCCGATGATTAATGGAGTTTGGCATTGTAGTAACTGCGGCTGTCCCGATAATGTGGCAGTTGGTCGAAGAAAAGGACCTGGTGGAAAAGATACTTTGTGTGGTGAATGTGGTCAGTCCCCTTGTCATTTTGACCTAATTTCCATCTTTTCTCTGAAAAATAAACCCGGTACACTCTAACTGACAATTTGTATCCTCAATGAATAGGTCGATATATGCATCGATTTAAAAAGAATCGACCGGCGCTTTGGAATACTTCCGCTGATTATCACACAAGCCTCAAGATTGAAGCTGATAAAGCAAAACAAGCAGTAGCTGATCAAGAACGATTGAGAAAAGGGAAGACTACGAATGGCAATTCAAACAAGCCAACCGATACAAGTGGTAGTGGATTAAGTGCATCCAAAAAACGAAAGAAAGAAGGAACTTCAACTGCAACTGGAACGCCTGCATCTGTCTTGGGCAGACCTAAAAGGGATCGAGCTGGTAGTGGCAGTGTGAAGAGTTCGAGGGAATCATCACCTGTCGTTTTGAGAGAGAAGAGAAGTAAAGCAGGCTTGTTGATGAATAAGAAAGCTAGACTTGATAAGAATAGCTCTTCGTCCTCTTCAACTGCGATATCCAGCAATAAACGAAGACACAATAGGATTGAAGATGACGATGAGGAGGAGGAGGAAGAGGATAAAAAGGAAGAGGAAAGAACAGAACAACAAGGTGAAGGAGGAGATGATGGCTTGGAGGAACTTGTACCCAAGGTTCCACCCGCACGTCCTATCCCTGGTCCACCGCACGTGGCTGTCAAACGTAAAAGTAGAACAGCTATTGGAGCGAGCAAGAATCAAAAGGATGAGGATGAGGACGAGAAAGAGTCTAAAAAGAACATTGAGAATATCAAAACAAGCAAAAAGAATGGCGATGAGGTCATCAAGAATAATGATCGTGAAGAAGAGTCGAAACCGGTCAACACATCACAAGAAGGATCGAAGCCAGTGATAAGTGGTAGTGGTGAAGAGGAGCTTAATAGAAGGGCTAGAAGAGTTGTACCGCCTGATTGGATGATGAGAGAATTAGGAGATATAAGGAATGGGTATCCAAACGATCGAGTGGAGTTGGTACCTAAAATCAAAAAAGATTCACAACATGTAGGATGGAGATTAAAGTGTTGGGATTGTCCTGGAAAGGTAATTTATCGATCATCATCATCATCCAATCAATGAAGGCATAAAATAGACTGATATGATTTTTTTCTTGATATTATAGCTGTACACTGTTGGACCTGACGAGTCGTTTAGTAACTTCGTGGTGCATTTGAAAAACAGGGTTTGTGTTTCTTTTGTTGATTAATTTTCAAACGAGTTAGATTGTGATACGAGATATATAAAATTAATTGTTTTGATTTGTTTCAATCTTTGTAGCAACATCGAACGCACGTTGACGAAAGAATTCAAGCTTCACCTACAACTCCTAACCCAACGGAAAAAGTTCAAACACAACCAACCCCTCAGACCACAAGTAATCGTAGTACTGTAGCACCACCACCACCACCACCACAAGTGACGATGATCAACTCACCAACAGTTTCATCGAAAACTCCTCAGAATGATTCATTACCTTCACCACAGGATGCTTCTGATTCCTTAGCAGCTCCGGTCTCAAACTCATTGCCACCTACACCGGTCGTGCCAAGTTTATCAACCCCACCCCCACCAAACGCTGTGAATCCATTACCACCAACATCTACTATCTCTGCTGCTGCACCACCACCACCGCCGCCATCGATTGTATCTGCAAGCTTATCAGCACCAGTACCATCAACTGGTTCTGCTGGATCATTACCACCACCACCACCGATCTTACAACCCAATCCATTCCATTCTCATCCAAACCATCATCTTCATTCACATCATCATCATCATCATCGACAAAGTTTTCTTCCTAACCCCCCTAACTCTTCTTCACTTGCTCCACCACCTCCTTCTACACTTGTCCATCCTTTACCTAAAAAACCAATGTTATAGAATGAAGAATAGGAAAAAGAAAGAAAGAAAAACATTTAAAACTTCAAATTTTGAAAATCGGATTGTGGAAAGTTATTGTTTTGTCTGTGTCTGTGTGTGCGTGTCACTGTCACTGTGTCTGTGTGTGTTTGCTAGTATGTGTTTTTGTGTGTGTGTGTGTGTATGAATGTTGAAAGATAGAAAAAGAAAGATGTGTGGTGAATTGTGACTTGTTTGCTTGGTATAAATATAAAGTTATAAAGTTATATATATATGATTAGAAATCCATATATAAATGAATGAAAGGTTCTTCTGTGTGTGTTTTTGTTTGTGATTGTGATTGATTGGATCATCTTGAAGATTTTTTTGGGGGGAAAAGAAAAAAGATGAGGAAAATCTGAAGAAAAAATTGATGAAATTAAGGTTGATCTTTGATTTGATTTGATTTGGTTTTACTTTTTGGTTTTACATACATACATAATTGTTTGTTTTTGGTTTTGCAATTATTTTTTCATAAAGGATTGAAATTGAATTTTGTTTGTAGATACTGAAATCAAAAAGAAAAGAAAAAAAGGTTTTTTGGATTGTCTGATTAAATGATTTTTTGTGGACTGGTTTACATCTTGTTTTTTGTGAACATTTGAATCATGCATATGTCTGACATTGTATATACATTCTAACATTCATTAATCAAAGAAACCCAATTGAAAAAATTGTGAAGAGAGGTGACATTTGGTTTCTGTAATAGGCTGTACTTATACTCTCTTTTGATAATGCTATCTTTGTTAATTTTCTTTGTGATTTTGAATGTTTGTTTGAGTTCTGAACTCAAGTCTTTTCAGATTTGAATCCAAAGAAATCATATCAAAACTCAAGAACTACAATTCTTACTTATATCATATGTGGAAAGCACAATGAAGAACTCATAAATATTGAAAGCATCCACAGTGGTGGGCTCCAAATCGGGGCTATTGCCAAATTTGGTGACTGAGCCCCAATTTTTTGGTGCAATGGCGGTCCCTGTCGCCAAATTTTATTGTAGCAGCTTCAAATTTTGAGTTTTGAGCTACAAATTTGGCAACAAAAAGCCGGGCTCCAAATTCCTGCACTTGCTCAATCCCATACCTCACACATGTAAGCCCACGCACACCAATCTCAAAGTGTGTGTAAACACATAGAATGTACACTTTTGAAGCCCATACGACTGCATCCGGATTGATTTGGGGCCCCACCAAATTTGAATTCGTTTGATTTGGAGCCTCAATTTGGAGCCCACCACTGTGGATGCTCTGATGAAGCCAAACAATCAACCTTTTCTCATCTCACCAAATGCTTCAAATTGCAGTACCACATTCATTGTATCTACATCTTCATTCTTTGACAGTGGACACAGTGTAGACATTTTTTTTGATATTTGAACTTTAACTCCAGAGTCCAGATATGTAGAAACACAGGTATTGAAGAAATGACTGTAAAGCTGTATCTCCCCACAATCATAGCCCTGGTATGTGATGTATTGGATCTTTGACACTCAGTCTTAAGGGCTGGAATCCATGTCTTTGATTAGCTGACAATATAAGAAGCCTAAAAATAAATAAACATATACTGATTTTGCTGAAAGTGAGCTGATGTAGAATGTGTTGAATTGGTTGTTCAGAACAAGTTTGATGCCCAATATGTGAGGTTTGAATCACTGGTATGTAGGAGATCTATATGAAGATCTTTTTGATTTGACTTGGGAATGAGGTCTGATCATTTATCATACATATTCACTTTGACTCTTCTCTCTACAATTAGTCAGAAAATCCTTTTACAAAAACATTTTTAATCAAAAAAAACACAATGAAGTTTTAACTGTCACTCAACAAGATGATACATCTCAGTACATAATTGTTTGGTGGGGAGGTTGTGTATCTTAAATCACATGGCTACATCTATGAACACAATTTTACAAGTTGAAGAAAGTCCATCAAATACTGAGTTGTCACTCAACTCTTTTGCACAAGCACACAAGGCACAAATCCAGTGGCAAACATCAGAAAACCATAGACAATCAAAAGCTGCAGGAAAATTATGAGGTCTGGGGCTCTCAATCACTTGATGATTATCTTCCAAAACAGCCTCACAAATTATGTGATGGACAAAATTGGATGCAGGATATATATCTCTTGGGCCACAAACTACAACACATTTTCCTGTCAATCTAACAGGCAATCAAGAAGAATCCACAATGAGTGAATTTGAGATGGAAAGGCTAAGCTCAAGGAACCACCTCAGTTTAGATTTGTTAAGTTCTCAAGGGTTGAAGATGTGTGATAGATTTTGTGTTTCACAAAACAGACCTCCTAAAAAGGCAAGGGCAGGAGAGCCTCTAGGAATAAATCCTAATGAAGATAGCTGGAGATTAACACCCAATTTTCTGATAATGTTTCCCACCCCTCCAAAACAGATAGAATCACAGAACCAGAAACATAGACATCAATATGAGTCTGGACCAAGGGAGGAATTGAACAATATTCTTGAAATGAAGTATACTTCTGGCCACATGATTATACAGCAGGGATTGATATACAAAACTTTTACTCACACACTCCTGACAAAATGTTTTCATAAGCTTCCACTCATTTCACACTGAAAACAATTGAAATCAGGTACAGGCATTAAGAAAATCTTCAAATTATCTTACTTTGAAAAAATCAAATCAGATAAGTGCTTCCGGAAAAGATACAACACATCAGTCACGGCTGGCAGAGTAAATGTGTTGTATCTTTTCCAGAAGCACTTGTACACCAGTTACACCACTTCCATCTCTACATTTGTTTTATCTTACAATCCAAACTTGAGGGTCTGAAAAATGGTCAAAAAGACAATAGTGTCATCTTCAAAACCTATTGCAAGTGGTCTGTCAAAGCACAGACAATTTGTGATCAGGAGACACTAGCCCACTTCATTTTGTGGCATACAGAATTAATATACCATATCTTACAAATGATTCCAATGGTAAAATCCTCACAAGGCATCCTAATTCAAACAAAATGGATATATAGCTACAGCTTTGAAAGTATCAACTCTGGCCAAGATGTTTCATATGTTGGAGTCTGACTTTGACAGTCTTACACAGAAATCAAGGAGTGGGGATGTCCTAGAGCGGCATGTCTATGAAACTTTTGAAAGAGACTATGTATAAACTTGTTTATCTAACCAGAAATACTAATCAGAACATGCATGTAAAGTGTCTGAATTCATTCAATTTTGGGAAATGGACTTCATGGAAACAATGAACTTCCTGTAGACTTCTCAATCAGAGAACACTGGGTATTCACTTTCCATACTCAAGGCCTTCTCTTGTGTATTTCTTTTTTTTTTCAGGAAAATAAATGCTAGATCATGTATGTATACATTGTTCTCTGAATTCCTTTATTGAAATGCAGAAGACAATTTTTTTTGTAAATTTTTGGCAACCATCCAGAGCTTCAGAACTTGAGAGATTTAAAGACACAAAAAAGAAGAGAAAAGGATATGTTGTGATTAGAGATTGAGTTGGGGTTTTCATGTTAATGTTGATATTCTTGACATAATGTGTTCATTAGATTCTTGTAGAAGTACTCAGTACCCAATGGTGCTCAACTCACATCCAACTTTGTTGTGGAACTTGAAGGTATCCCAAGACAATTTCAGTCAGAATGGGAGAAGAGTTCAAGCAATGTCACATTATGTGACCAGAGGATACCTCACACAAAAAACAGGGGTCTCATCATTCATTACATCTGATCATACATTTGATGTCATGAAAGAACTGGTTGAAGTATGTCATAGAATCTTTGGAATATACTTCATGTTAGAGCTTCATATCACCACCCTCAAAACCAGTTTGTTTTGTGTTCAGGGTTAAGTGATGTGAGAGCTGTGTGTCAATCATCTGTTGGAAAGGGGTGTGAGAGGTTCCTTAATGTAGATATGTGTTGTATGTCTCCTCAAGTCATGTGATATTTCACCTGAGTTCATGTGGTGAGCGGGGCGTGAAACCAGGGGCTGGCCTTTTAGGCCCAATTTTGGGGCTGGCATGCCAACATTAGGGTTAGGTCTATGCCACCCAGTTGCTGTGTGATTCTGGGTGAACTATCAGGACCCTGGAGAGCTCTTATCAAGGTGCATGTTGTGCAAAATCTTCCTACACTACACAAACTTCACCACAGTTTACATTCATAAAAACTTGACCAGATCCCTTGCTTCTCCCTCAATAATGCCTAGCCAGAAGTAAAGCACTTTGTCGACTGCAAAATTCATACCTACACAATTGTGAAGAGTTTTGTAGATGCCGTGAAATCCACAGCAATACATAGCAAACATAAGAAAATAAAATCTTTTACATCACACACCTCTACAGGAGCTCTCCGTGGTCCTGAACAATCCCATTTACATCATTTTTTTTCAAATCACATCTCAAAGTGCTAAACTTACAACAAATCCCCTATCTCCAAGCCACTGTCAGACATAGACTCCTTTCACATCATGCCAAAAAGCAAATCATCCTTGTCACAGTCAGCCTCAGACAAGTAGAACCAACCTACCATTGGATTTGGAAAGCAATGGACAGGATTCATGATGTCTGCTGAAGTGAATGCATCAACAAACCACCACCAAGCTCAATGTCAGCACTTTTTTTGATAATTGTTGATGAAATGTACAGCACTCTCCAGCAGTATTAATCATTATGCACTACAAAAGATGCTATCTTTGGTGTTGTTGAGCGGTTTTTTACCTCCTTTTTTTGCTTTTTTGAGGGATTTAAAGAGCTCAGAGGCACACCTCAGTGCCCCCACTATAGGTGTGCCTTTGAAAGGCTCAAAATCCGTGCCTGGGCCTGCCTCAAATTCACAACCCGCGTCCACCACGTGACTGAGTACATCTTTTACCATGTGTAGCAGCACAGTTGCTACCTTTCCTCATCTTTTTACTTTTTTTATTTGCCCTGTGCCTCAGTCACAGTTGCCAAAATTGGTGCCCAGGGAGAGGTGAGCATAACAAGCTTGGAGGTTTCCTCAACTTGTCTACCTTTTTCCTTCCAACTTTTTTCCCCCTTTTGTTCTCCTTTCTCCTGGCTCATCATCTGCTTAGATCATTAACATGAGCCAAGCAGATGAGATAGGCCTTCCTCAGGCTTTGCTCTTTGGTCAAAACCTGAGGGAAGGCTAGCCCAGCCATCAGGATTTGCTTGGTTGATGTTGTGGCCTGGTATCTACGCAAAGTCAGAGGCTGTGCCACTGGAAGAAAATCGCAGCAAAGTTCAACTGTGGACCAAGTAGCTGGACACTGGTATACTCAAACTTAACATTCCCACAAATTTCAAGCTTTGAGGAACACCTTAAGCACACCCACCCAATGGATCCATGACACAAGGTCACAATGATGATGTTCTCTCCCAGGAGCCAACGCAGTTTTTTTATCTAATCTGAGCTGTACTGTGATCAAACAAACCACCAGAAGAGCTGGTTGCATTTAACTCCATTATCACATGAGGCAGCTGCAATGAATGTGAAAATCCACATTAAGACCCACATCATAAGTGAGCAAGCACACTTGAAATACTTTTGTGGTGTTTTGAGGTAAACTCAGATTGCTGAAATGATAATGATTTCTTCCAAGATAGCCCAGTTTGAGCTTTATCAGAACGAGGAAAGAATCATCACACGTACAAATGATCAGAAAGGTTTACGCTTGTATTCACAAAAATGAGTCACTTGATGATGAGTAGGTAGCTACAGATGATTTGAAGAACGCAATGCCACTAGAAATGCCACTCCTTAAATGCTAAGATCTTCTGTCTGAATTGAATCTTTCACGGGCGCGCTCTCTCCTTGATGCCTTGAATAGGACCAAGATGGCTTCCTTAACAAGCCCACCTTGGCCTTGAGAGATCGCACTGTTACATTGTACATCAGTCTTGCGGCCTCGGGAGAAAGCCATGAGGGAGAATCTACTGACTTGTTGAAGGTTACCATGAAAGTAGCTTTATCATCGGAAGAAGCCAACTTGACCGGTAACTGCTCCACTATAGGAGGAAGCCATGTTGACAACTCTGCGGGAAAGTGCTCGCCTAATAATCGGAATATTATGATCACTGATGATGAGAGATCTTCGGGTAGATCTGAGAGGAGCCTTCGCAAAAGGGCTTCACAAAGGAGGAAGCCATATTGTGTAACAACGGATCTAATAGGAGCTGCCAGTAAGGCAAAGCCAGCTGGTGCCTGAGGTGCGTCTACGCCATTTTGAGGTCGCTGTACACCAAGACTTTCATGGCCTACAATCTCTCGTACATAGTCCAATGTTGCCGACAACGGCCCAGGGTCGTAAAGTTCAAGTGAAGCGAGAACGATTGGAAACGAGGGAGGAAAACAGGGAGACGAAGCAATGATCTGAGGATAAGACTCTAACAAGACCAAAAGAAGATGAATGTAATCATCGATCACTACAAAAGAAGTCAACAGAATGACAGAAGATTAGCAGATGGGGTTGGGCGTTGATCTCCAGACAAGAACATTTAATACATACCATCAGAAGTGTGCTCCGCCCCTGCCTCCTTTATAGTAGAGAACGCATGGACACTTTGCCTTTCAAAGGCGATCTTCAAGCAAGACTCAAGCCCGGGATCTCGTGTTTCCGAAAACATACCGACCACTTTGCCAGTAATCCACAAGTAACTGGGACACCCTGACCTTTCATAAGAGACCGTCATCCTGTCAACTATGCTAACTAACAAAGGTAAACAAAATCTCCCAAAGAATTGAAGGCCGCGTCGGATGACAGCGCATGCGCGCTCGGAAACCTTGAAGTTTTTGTCATACGAGCCGAGCACTCCGTCCAGAACTGTCCAGATCTGTTCAAGAGTCTTGCTACATTCAGGCTGTAAGTGGTCTGCCAGGCTAGGTACGTAGGAAAGAAATGTATCGAGTGTTTCCAGGGTGTCTACGGAGCGTAAAGGATCAGGGAAAAGCAAGACGATATCCGGCCAAAGCAATTTTACGCACCTGAAAGCTGCTGAATGGCACCCTCTTGTCCCAGTGGCACTTTTTGTGCCACCATGTTGTGCATATTCTCCACAAGGGGCATACAGAAGGTCTGGAGGGCTTGTGAGGCTTCGGGTGCCGGCATCACCGCTATGATGTGAGCGAGCGCACCCGATAGCTCCGTCATGTCGTCTTTGCCCAAAGTTGACGAAACCGTTTGATAGAAAGTGTGGAGTTGAGGTAAAAACGACACTAAGTGCTACAAGGGAGTTGTTGGATTCATGACCTGTGCCGCAAATGAATGGAAACAATGGAAAGAGCGTACCTGTGAGCAATCTCGACATAGAAACTTCATCGCCTGAGCTGCAGCCAATCTAACCTCTTCGGCAGGATCTTGAAATCCGGCTGAAATATACTGAAGTTGAAATGGTATGCTGTCCGGATGCAGATTAGTCCATTCTGTATATCGGCAAAGGACCAAGATTGTAGCATATTGTATCTTAGGGTGAGCTGGTAGTTTGGGAATGATATCCATAATCAGAGGTAAGACTTCATCATCCTTGGGATCGACTTCGGCGCCCATCGTGCGCATGGAAAACAGAGGCGCTTCGATATCTTGCCAACGAGAAGACGTGCTGTTCGCCAACGCTCGTACAATCAAGTCATACGACCTCTTCAAGCACAAAGAAGCACCGAGAACATAACAGCAGTCTTTGAGAGTGTCGCCGATGTTGTGTCGAAATCGTCGGAAAGCATCAGCTTCTTGGCCGGTATGTGTACTCATGTCGTTAGGATAATGCAGGTGACCGATGATTGTCTGAACCAGGCTGGAATATACATCAAGCAGTGGTTTCATCTCGCCTTCAAGCCTCTTGCGATAAAGCCCCTTGGAAAGTCGGTACCAAAAGTTGAAGGTGATCCCGACTACATCTAGATCTTCATAATCGCAGCATGAACGGATGGCATGAACGATTGGTAGGAAGGTATCGGGATGTCGAAGGATCAAGGGGGTGTACCACTCTCCAGCTTCGACATAAATTCGACAGTAGCCTCTCATCATGTCTGGATCTTCCCGGTCTTGAGCCAGTTTGGGTTGAAGGGCGATTAAAAATGAGACTATTCTTTCGATAAGTGCCATGTTATCGTCGATTTCTTGAGTCTCGTGAATCAGATCAACTATGAGATCAACAGCCGCTTCGAACAGCTCATCCTCACTCAGTGCGTTAAAAGCCGAGCTCAGAACGTTCGGGGTACCGACAACTGAAGCTGAAATTTCACCGGTCCGTAGCCAAGCGCTTAAACACTTGAAAACTTGAGACTTGATCGGTATTGTGATGCCTTTGAATGAATGATCTAGGTTAGAGCTCCTTCAGTTTGAACCAAAGACCGAGGACATCGCACCTTGGGCAGCCAGATACATTGAAAGTGTGTCTGATACCAATTGAGAAGTATGTGGGGAACTCCATTGATTCTACGGTTTAATGATGAATATCAATGAGAGGTTCTAAAAGTGATGAACGTCAGAGTGAACATACAGTGATCTTGATCCGATGGTTACCCAACACTTCTTGAGGAAATACGGTCAAGAATTCTAAGAGGATTGGAACAGTCTCCGGGCTTTTCCCAAACTTTTCTGTCATGTCTCCTATGACTGTTGGCCATTCCGGCAGCTGTAGTGCTAGATCGGCCAAGCTCAGACATAAGTGTACAAGGACTATCTTAGCGGGTCCAGTGGCAAAATCTGTCAAGACGGTCAATAAAGAGTCCCGGAGCTGTAGCCGATGAGGAGCTGGGAGCTGTTCAAGGTCAAAGGTGATCTGCAAAGGACGAGAACAACCAAGATATTAATCACTTGGCCTAAATTTCGTTATATACGTTCATACCTTTGCACGAAATGTTTGAGCAGCGAACAGCTTAGATTCCAGAGAGCTATCAGGTGCACGGAGGATTAGGTCGGCAGTGAGCCATGCTTCTTCCTGAATATCAGAGTGAATAGGTAAAGTATTGAGTTTTTTGGTGGAAGCAAAACATGCCACAAACCGGCCTGAGTCAGAATTCGTGTAGTGATGAAATCCGCCAAGGAGCCATTCGCGAAGAAAACGATTGGAAGGGCGTATGATAAGCGAGGCAATGCTCGCTAGATAATCTGAGAGCGATGACTGACGGTCTTTTGGAAATTTTGTAACCATTCATTTGCTTGAGACTTTAGACTAGGGTCCGGATTGTGGTAAAGAGCCGCAAGATGAGCTGATAGTTCCTTGATGGGATCCGACATTGAAGAAAGTTGAGAGACTTGAAGAGTAAGACGAAGATGATACGAAGATGATGATGAAGGGTTGATGACTGAGTGATTCGACAGACTTGATGAGCTGATCAAATGGTAAACACCGACTCAAGAGATGTCACCTTAATCATCAAGAACCTATATGTCACGCCAGCTGACAGTCTCGATCATTATGCAGTCCAGAGTCACTCCAGACAGCCAGCGTCTTGCCAATTGGAGAACTCAAGGGGAAACACCACATATCATGATGAGATCCTGCTCCGAAAACCACAAGGAGATACGCCAAAAGCTCTCAAGGGAATAAATTGAAGCTTTAATGGGTTAATATGACATCTTTGATCGATTTCTCCTGCCCTCTATCATCTATGGCATAATCCGGATATCTCTGATGGAGAGCAGTTGTTTTGTTGTCACAGGCTCCATTCTTGTATAATTGCCCACTGATTTTCTGCAAATCCAACCAAATCTTCTCACTTGATCACTGAATCTTTACCCCACAAACTAATTCAAGATCTCTAAATCTTGTCTGTTGACCTCACGCATGCACTTGGACGTTCAATCATGGGTCTAATTTTCATCAGAAGCTATAAAACGCTAAACTTTTAAGTTTGTATACATGCAAAGGAGAGACTGCTAGTCAGAAAATTGACTTGGCAAAGCACCTGGGAAGGCCTTGGACTTGGGGACATACAATCATAGCCAGGAAGCTATCATAGTATTAGAACTAACCTTGGAAGTTTGTGCTTCAAGGGCTCATAGATGAGGCCTCTTTTTGCCCTAGCAGTGCACTCAACAAATATCCATCTCTAAAGTGAACTTCACCTGAGCATAATCAGCTTAGAGGTGGACATTATATCTTGTGAGGTAGGAAACCCTGACTATATAGTGCAAAATAACTTGCGGGCCTCCAAGGGCCAATATGTCTATCTCTATGCTCTGTGTAGTACAGATGATTTGGTGTACAGATGATTTTTCATCAGCAAAAAGCTTTGAACAGTCAGAGTCAAATCAACTTGCAGTGCTGGTCTGTTGGTGGAATATGGCTCCATGAATCTTTATTTAGTCCAATAAGGATAAGAGACTCCAAGGTCCTTTGTTAACTCAACTTTTTCAAGAACATTGTGCCAGTGTATTAGTCCAATATGACCAACACAAATCCAACTTTCAACGAAATTTTTCAAGGTTGATGAACTGATGTGTTTATGCCATACCTGTTGACCTCATTGTGACTTTCGTGTATATGAAAGACCATGAAAATACCCCATGCAGGACGCTTCCTTGAGGTAAGTTGACCTTGTCAGTAATCTATGTGCCCAATATTGGTAGCAAAGCATCATTTGAATTGCCAAATATTGGTATGACAAATTACATCTTGTAACAGCTGTTTTATCAAGATATTTCATAGAAAGACTCTTAATTCTTCAATAGCCTGAGTCCATAACGAATTGCCATGGCTATAGATACAATCTAAAAGATTCAAGTGAAGGGATTTGACGGGAATGATCAGTTTCTATTCACTTGATTATAAGTAAATCAAAAGGTCTTACAGAAGTGATACCTGCAGGCATCAGTTTACCAGAGTTCAAAAACCTTTTACCCATGAAGATCGACAATGCAAGGCTAACAGCTTCGAGGATGAATCAACACATGGGGGTTAGCTTATCAAACCCTTGCACTCGATCATAATATTTTTGAAGTGCGCGTCAATTTCGTGTCAAGTTGAGAGAGTGGCATACCGAAAACCAAATCTGGCTTTCCATGAACCTGTGCACGATATGCACCCAGCCCAATCAGTGCGCCTATGGACGAGGAGATGACGTTCAGCTTGAATGCCATTCAGGTGCGAAACGTAGGTATGATCATGGAGCGAAGGACGTACCAGAGCCACCACCCGCGATTAACGAAGGTACACTAGACGCTTTCAAATAACTACGAGAGTGAAATGATGAGATCGATGCGAATGCTCAATCACGATCAAAACCTAGACTTTGAACATACGCATCTAATCAAATGAGCTGCATTTGGACTACTCACCCTATGAGCCCACCGCCAGCTACAAATAATGCGTAAGCACTACCGACGAGGAACACATATTGGTGGGTCTGAAAAAGTCTTTCGAAGGAGAACTTGATAGGGAATAAAATCAACGAACACGCCAAGATAATCGGTTGTTTGGGAGGCCATTTTTCGTAGTTATCTTTTCAGAGTGATCAAGACAAGACTGAAGTGTCTGTATGTAGATCTGTCTCTGGAGGATCTCATGAAGTCATCAAAGTCGATCTTGAATTTTATAGCAGAATCACACAGGTGTCACGTAGCTGGAACATAGCTGTCATCGAGTGTGAAAGTCCCCTGGCGTTGAGAGCTGTTGGGTCGAGTCTCGACTCAGAACGACTTCGACTCGGATAACAATATACGAACTCATACGGAGCACATGCATACATAGTTCTCCTGAGTTGCCGTCCTCAAGGTTAACATGGAGATGGAGATCAAGTGTGCATTGGCAATAGCGGTTTCTTCCCAGTTCTCTTTGTCAACGGGTGTGACTTCAAAGGACTCTTGACAAATATTGACAGCTTCCCATGGAGTAATGCATTATCACCGGTCACTTGCTTCTCTTCTTTTCTCGGATAATATTGGGCAGAACAAAGGAAGGGATGTGATCTTGAACCGTCTTCAATAGATATGATCAGCAATCAATCTTCAGTACCAGTCTGATATCAGTCATGATCTCAACAGTGCGGTCCACAGTCACACGAACTCCAGATGCTGAGCGGTCTAGAATTTTGGCTGTTCAAAGTGGGCGTAATGAAATTTCTAGACGCAGATGACAATCCCAAGATGAAATTTGTCAAATCTGTAGTATGGTAACATCACCAGGTAGATCGGTGAGGCTTGAGTACATTTGCAAGGTATAATTGCATGAATTGCCATCACCCCAATAGTTTCTGACAGGTGTTGTTTTTCTCCATGATTCGACAGATATTCACAAAACCAGGATGGACTTCAAATCATGATTGACTAAACAGTTTTGATCTATTTAAATATCGACTCGTCAAATTCAAGAATCGCCAAAGTTGTAATGGAGTAGCTAAGAGAGTCGAATTTTCAAATAGAGTTGAGAAGCATGACCGGGATTGGTGAAAATTTTTGGTTCATTCATTTCAGCGCTTCAATCAGGGTGATGTTTTCTCCTTTGAGTAGTAAACGACCTATTATTGATACGGGCAAAACAACAAGGCGCGTCAGAAAGACTTGAACATAACCAGTTGGATGATGAAAGTTGTCCCACCTAGCGGTACTCGAGTTCCCTTCTCAACAGCCTCCCGGTGAGGAGTTCCCTTCTTGGCTTTAACCCAGACCTCAGACGCGTTATCAAGTACTACATTCATGAACTCATCAAAACCCTAAGAAATCAAAAAAATGAAAAAGCACCGTGAGTGATGAGCTTGAGTATTGGATGAAGAGACGCGAAAGTTGTGACATGAACCGTCAGGAATATAGGTGACAAAGACTACAGAGTAGGTGGGATGAGATCGTCGCTCGCTCTCTTCAGACTGAGAGCAATACCGATCCTCTAAACTACTTTTTGTCAGCCAAGGATGAGAGCATCACCCGTCAAGCTGATTCAAAAGTAATGAAAATTAGCTCACAATGATCTTTCCTTCGAGCCTGAATTCCGTGTTGTCGTATAGCCAGATATGAACCAGCTGACCAGCCTGGAGATGTTTGAAAATAACATTCTAAAATACATGATCGCATAAACACATCAGTCGCGATGAACCCATTTCATAACATCGATCAAAAATGGATCTCACGATGGGTTGAACCATCACACGTTGTTGTCGACCCGACATCTTGAATTAGGTTATCTGAAGCTGTAGAATGTGACCAAGATGGGTTGGCGTTCGAGAAGTTACAGCAATGCCAGTCGATCGATGGCTTCGATGTTTTCGTGTTCTAGATGATTGAGGTGTATGGGTCTTGTCGTCGAATGTTGAAATGCATCGTCAAAAAGACGAACAGCACGATCAATAAGACTTCCCTCGAAAGCTCCATTGCTCACTATACACATATCTCGTACAGCGATGGAGCATTATGCTTATATCTAAAACATTCCTGTTACATACAAAGCTGCAACTCAAGGGCAGGAAATAGGGAAACCATGCAAAATATAACCCCAGACTACTGTTGTAGCTGCATAGGGAAACCAAATGGTAGAAGCAATGGAAAACATCAATTTTGTGAATGAACACAAAAGGAAGGTAAGACTCATGAGGGGAGTTCACTATAGAAAGGGTATCACTATCATAAACAGTAGTGTACATATACTATCCGGTCAAAAGGAACCGAAACATCAATCAATATTGGTACTTCAACCAGTCTGGATTGATCAGTGATATAGGACATGCATCAAAAGAAAAAGAGACGGTAGTGAAGCATCCTATCCCATGCTAGCATCAAGTTATTGGAACTAACCTTGATACTGTTAGAAAAGAAATCCTGATGTTCTAGTATTCAAACATCCCATTGCCTTCACACTCAACTACTGATCAGAGGTAATTAACACTATCCAGTAAAAAAAGAATTCTATCCCTTCTTGGGCACTTCATAGACAAATGCTTATCCTTACAATCCATATGTCAAACATCTCAAAACAAATTCAAGTTGAAAAGAAACAAGGACGAATCGAAGTAATCGTTAGAAGAGAACGAATGTTCGTAATCATAATGTCAATATACCTAGGCAAAAGACATAGATGCTGCTGTTTAAAACGATTCTTAATATTATTGTACACTATTGGAGTCAGTGTTGCCAAAAGTCTAGTTGATGAATATCTACAGTTTGTTTAGCCATAAAACTATTTGGTACAACACTGTCCAATATGATAATAGTCTTATCAAAGTTTGTATATAGCTGTAATAAAAGCAACATTAGCTTGGCTAGAATCATGAAACGATACAAAGAGAATAGTGAATAACTTACTGCCATCCGAAAACATGATAGAATTCTCATCATTCATGATGACCAAGATCGCTTCAGCTTCACTGGGCGAGAATGTATTTTCTTCCGACAAGCCTTGGTTGACTTGTGGGAGTAAAGTTGCTTGTGTCATCATATCTTCATCTTGTCTCATAAACGTCTCACCCATTCGTCGTTTGAACAACTTTATCCTAATGATGATGAAAAAAATTGAGCGAGATAGTAGTCAGGTATAATTGATGACAACTTTCACAAAGCAAAGCATAATTCATCGAACTGAGAAGACAGACAAACCTTTCGATCGTAATGGGACCATCAGCTATATTATTTGACGATGGCTCCGTTACAGGAGCTGAAGATGAAAGATTCTGTGTTTCATTCCCAACCGTTCCAGTCACGTCGGTATCCAAATTCATCGTATCTTGATGGTGATCACCGGTGAGATTAAGTTGAGATAAGCTTTGAGTTTGATCTGCAATGGAGTGAGTAGTTGCTTGAGTCCCTTTTTGCGCACGAGCACGGGTTGCATGTCGAGACGTTGAAGGGGTTTGTGACGCTTTCGCAGTGTTAGTATTGGGCTCTTCGTCACTACCATCCGCATCTGCATCTTCATCCTCTTCATCCGTTTCATCATCAACAGGTGTTCCTTTTGCCTTGTTGGTTTTACGCCTCTTGGAGCTGGTAGCTCGAGTACTTTTGAGTACTTCTTTGAATAAGGCAAACCTGAGAATCGCTTCAGCACCTTCAGCATCTGCAACACTTATAGAGTTGGATAGCCTTGCTTTAGCATGTGCAGTAGCTAGACGGATCAGAGTTTCTAAGGTACGGGCCGTCAATGGAGAAGTCTACAAAAAGAGTTTCGACAGACTGGTCAGATTGAATGGTTCACAGATCCTAAGCAAGAGCTTCATGTATTCACCTTTTTCTGATTTGATTGCAAGTCGTCATTACGTAGAGAGGAATACGCATTGACGATGTAGTCGACTGCATCTTGTGAAAGGCTGGGCTTACACGTGTTTTTGGCGTATTGGATGAATTTCTTCACAAATGCGATGGATAACACTTCTTTCCGGCGTTGGTCGTCTCCTGTGACGCCTGCATGTAGTAATGGATTGAACTTCTCAAAAACAACGGTCTCCTTCACAGATCCATGGTCGTTGGAATCAGGCCCGACGCCAACTGAAAGATTTTGTTCTAGACTGTCGACTGCCGGTGTTCCTTCCTCGACACCGGGTTGAAGATAACGATGCATACGTAAGACATGCTCAGATATATGACGATCCCGTTCTTCGTCTGTATCATCTGTTACGATGAACAGAAGATCAAATCGAGACAGTAATGAATCAGGAAGTGCGATGTTCCGATGGGGATCTTTGTGAACGTCGTATTGTCCATAGATAGGATTGGCAGCAGCGATTACTGAGCAACGCGCGTTAAGAGAGGTGTGAATCCCAGCTTTGGCTATTGTGACCGTTTGCTGCTCCATAACTTCATGGATTGCTACCCGATCAACATCTGACATTTTGTCAAATTCATCAATACAAACCACCCCGCGATCTGCCAGGACCATGGCCCCTGCCTCCAGTCGACGTTCACCTGTTTCCTTGTCAGTGGTGACAGCGGCTGTAAGACCAACTCCAGACGATCCACGGCCAGTCGTGGCAATAGCTAGAGGAGCGGTGTTGAGCACAAATCGCAACATCTGCGACTTGGCTGTTGAGGGGTCTCCTACCATCAACATGTTGATATCACCTCTGATGTGGGTCCCGTTTGTCAAGTTCTTCTCCATACCCCCGAGAAGGAAAAGCAAAACGGCCTTCTTGATATGTTCGTGACCGAAGATCGACGGAGCCAACGATTCCGCCAGTAATTTGATCACGTTTCGCCTCTTTGCGATCTTTTTGATGTTTCGCATGTCCATCTCGGTGAGTTGAGCTTGTGCAATTCCTCCACCAGCTTTTGAGGACAAAAGAACGATGTTGTTGGTCACTATGAGGGTTCTGCCATAGCCGAAGTCAGCACATCAGTTTCCCGGCTTGACTGTATGGAGCAGCTTTGTAATAACCAGTGATCATCACACACTTGAATGTAGCACTCCCTCCGCCAGCTCCCTTGCTCCCGAGACTTCTATACATCCCCACTATCTGAACACGGTCACCAGGCTTGCATCGATCGACCAAGTCATCGTCCATGACCACTTCAACGCTGCGAGGTAGCTGCCCGGCAGGTGCACGTTCAGGCATTTCCTGAATGGCGATCGTTTGATGATCCATATAAGTTGAAAGCCCGTATTCCGTCTGTAAAGTATTCCCGTCCGCATCTTCTTGCGGATAGAGTGACTAAGAAAGTAGTAAATCTCAATAAAGTTTCGGTTTCGTCCAATGATATCATCACATACATTGCTTGTGTCTCCTGTTCCACTACTAAGTTGGTCGCGATATTCACGTCCATGAAAGACATTTGTGGCATGACAGTAATGGACACTCTTGATTACTTTCGGACGCACAAGACTACCTGAACCGCAAAAGTCGACATGATCAATAATCACATCAGTGGAATTCTGCGTCGAGATGGAGGGATACGCGATGACAATTGACCTACAACGCGTGACAATGCCTTCCAAGGAGATAATTTTGCCAATCATGTGACTTCGTAATGTGCGAGGGTTGACATGATGATCACCAAACGAGCCCCGTAAGCCTTATAGGAGCAAAAGCCAGTCAAAACCTTATTTTCAGCTTGAGACCATATAAGAAGGTAACCTACCGATGTAATACTTTTGTTCATTCTGTTCTGGAGAGTAATCGAGTGTCTTAACAATACTATTGAGCGCCACGTCGAAGGCATTGAGATATTCGATAGGTTCCTTCAAAAGACTAGATGTTTTGATCAATCAGCTGGGTATCTCAAAGCAGCTCGATGGGCTACTTGAGAGGGAGATGCAAGTTGAACGCACAGATCGCAAAACTTGCGGTTATAGTCTCTCAGGTCATCGACATTGACGACCAAGCGGCGCTCGCCTTTCTCAAGCATGCTTTTCACTAGTTCGCTATAATTCGGTTTACGCGTCTGATTAAGAGTAATGATCAACGAAGATATTCAGGTAAGAAGACCCTATTGAACGTTAACTAACATCATCTTCAATAAATTCGATAAAGATTCGAGCATTATCATCGATTTCATCGCCCCTTCGGTTGTTCGAAGGACCGGCTGGCCGATTCGTAGCCATCGATTAGAGATTCGCGAAAAACTTGGTGAGTTCCCAAAGTACGTGTTAAGAGAGCTGCCTGTGAGTTGAATCGACTAGACGGCGCTTTTGTGGCCAGGTTGTATGCTTTGAAAGTTTTGAATGTGATTGAGAAGAAAATGACGCGACGAATTGGAACTTGGGACTCGGAGTGAGCAATGTCAGCTTTGGAGGATGATAGAGTTGGGATGGGAAAAACCTCTCAAACACCATTGTCTAAAGCCATACAACATTTTCGATCAAGTTTTCCAAATATTCCCGCATTCAATCAGCTTGCTTGACTTTTTTGAAAACTGTGATTTATCATTTCATGAACTGGCACTTTGTCCATCAACAGTTTCGGCTCACTTTGAGACCCAACACTCATTCCCATCCTCAAAGATGGATGTCCAACTTCTCACCAGTTTACTTTTCAAAGACAACTTACAGTCCATCAAAATTGGAATTTCCTCAATCGAACAATTCTCAAGATGTGATTCATAAATTGGAAAGTCGTCAACTCATTGCACAACTCACCAGGTCCGTCAAGATCCATGAAAAAACCTTCTTCTGGGCAACCTTTACGATCTGAAATCTTATCTTCACCTAAGTCGTGCAGTACGTCAACATCTGATAGATCAACCGAGGACGATCTATTTAGGTATCGATCCAACTGCAAGCTCTCTACATGTAGGGAATTTGTTGGCTCTTATCGGACTCGTTCACTTTGCTCTCAATGGTCACAAGACTATCGTTCTTGTAAGTTGTTGAAGTTTATATCTACTATCGTCATTATTTTGACTGACTGGATCACTTGTGTTCTTTAGCTCGGCGGTGGAACCGGGATAGTAGGTGATCCTTCTGGTCGGAGCTCTGAACGTACAAGCCTTTCACGTTCATTGGTCGATTCTAATGTGGAATGCCTCCACAAACAAGTCAACAAAATATTGGACTCCGCTCTGAAGCATGCTCAAACACGAGTTCGCCACACTGATGATCATCAAGATTCTAAATCACCTCAAATATGGCTTCATCGCGTGAAAAACAATATGGAATGGCTTTCAGGTTTAACCCTGTTGGATTTTTTGGGCTCTGTAGGAAAAATAGCCAGAATTGCGTCTATGCTTGCCAGAGACAGGTGAAGCGTTTGCTCGAATTGCTTTACGATTTTCAAAATTGTGGCTTCTTGTTGACGTACGAGTGCTGATCAGACAACCGTTTCAATGAACACGCAGCGTTAAACAGCGAATGGATTCTGGTGCTGGTATCTCTTTTACCGAATTTACATATCAATTACTACAAGCATACGACTTTAATCAATTGAGACATCGATATGACTGTACGATCCAACTCGGTGGTAGCGATCAATATGGGAACATTATGAGTGGGATTGAAATCATGACCAAAATTGGTACACATCAAAAAGAAAACAACCAATCTTCGTCAGAACTTGTGGAAACAGAAATACCACAAAGTTATGGAGTTACACTACCACTCTTACTAAATCATAAGGGAGAAAAGTTTGGTAAAAGTGCTGGTAACGCGCTTTGGTTATCATCTAGACTTACCCCACCAGTTGACCTCTATCAGGTTAGCTACCTTTTCACATAACACCGATGCCACTATTTTGCTAATGTATGACTTTATCAGGCATTCCTACGGACTCCAGATAGTGAGATAGATAAGTATCTTCGAATGTTAACGTTTTTACCTCTGGAGGTAATCAACCGCGTTATGGACGATCATCAAAAAGGTGACAGACAACGCCGCGAACCTCAAAAACTCCTTGCACAAGAAATCATTCTTCTAGTACATGGATGTAGGTCTTTCAATATGTTTGACTTGAAGCATGTAGCTTAGATCGAGCTGATGCGTTTGTTATATCCTTTGATTTATAGCTGAAGGGCTCTCACAAGCATTATCAGCTACCGAAATACTTCATCCCTCCAAAGGAAACCTTTCAATGCTGACGACAAATCAATTTCAAGATGCTTTCGATGGATCGCCACATCACATACGCTTGCAATCCAACAAAGTGCTTGGCTGCAGTATTGATAGCATCGCAGTGCTCTCAGGCTTATGTAAATCGAAGGGTCAGTTGAGATCATCTTGAACATGAGTGTTGTGGTCTAATCTGACTTGGAAACTCGGAATGCATATCGTCCCTGCAGGAGAAGTGCGAAGCCTGAAGCAAAGCGGCGCAATCACCGTCAATCATCAGCCATTGCGTGACAATGTCATCCAAGATAGCGATTTGTTAGCAGGTGAATTCATTTTATTGATGCGCGGAAAGACTGCGTACAAGCTCGTTAGTATACTGTCGGGTGATCAGGACAAATGAAAGTTTTTTATAATATCAACTGCCTATGCTGTGTCCTCTTCCTGCTTTCGGTGAATCCTGGATGCCTATACACATCTTGATACCAAATGTACACATAACGTGATGCCAAATTGCTCAAAGGACATAGACTTCAACATTCTCAGGTCCTGTTTTGGCCTCTTCCGCAATCAACTGTGCCATCATTTGCACTTTCGGTTTGTCCTAGTCGCACTGTGTTTTGGTAGGATTGTGGAGTGAAGTCAAACCTCGTGGAGTTTGCAGGTTAAACTCTTCACGCGCGCCGGTCACCTCACATGAGGCATATCAGCACAATGTGAAGCTGGAAGAGACGATTATCTTGACACGTCATTTTCGAAAGCAGCATCAACACTAAAATACAAGACTTTGCCGTTTCTCCTTGAAACCTTGTTCGAACCATTCAGTTCCGATCAAGTCCTCTTGTGATCGATCATCCCCTGCCACTGTTTCCCTCTTCGGTACAACCTCGGTGACCTTTCCCTGCACCTCTGCCGGGTCCAAGAGATGAGCAATTGCGTCTCTCGTGAATCGAACGCGACCTCAAATGATTTAATACATCTACGCCAAAATGAGGTGCCTTAGTATCCATTCTGGCCTTTTGGCTTAGATCAAGTGTAGTATCTGTTCTTATCAGTGTAATTACTGGTATTGGTTCATCGAACCAATCAATTAATTACTCTTATCTTTGATTGCCCTCGACCGCTCCCTGGCTTGCCAGCGTGGTTGAGACGATGGCCTTGGGCTCACACTATCCCCTTGTGCTGTCAGGCAAAACCTCCTTTTTGGCCACTTGTCGAAGAGTAAGATGCTTTTGCAAGTAAATACGACCATGTACATACACGCACAGGAGATTTGAGATGGATGATGCGTTCAGCCATGGAAAAAGACCCATCAAGCCGTATTAATGTCACAATTGCCTCGGGCTTGGTTGACCGTGAGGAATTCACGTTTAAGGTCAATAAAAGCTGAGCTTTTTGTTCTTCCTTGTCAGTTTGGAGTTCAAAACCCACGAAAAGGAACCACGATCTAGTCCGTCCTAGTCCGCCATTCACTTGATCATCGCGTAGTGTTTATGAACGTTGAGCTAATTGGATGTATGAGTGCAATCAACCAGTTTATTTAGATGACCGATCAATCCAAGCCTGCTACATACTTTGTAGCACTTTGAACAAGTTTTTTAACAAGCTCATCAAGATCAACCTACGGATCTTGCAAGAAAGTTGATCTAGTGTAATTTTTAGCCAGCGTCGAAGGCTCAATCTATTACACATTGAGTGACCGTCCAGTTTGAACCCCAAACATATAAAGCACCAGGCCAACTCAGGCCTCCTTGTCCATATAACTTAAACCGCATCAACGTTTTCCCTCTATCACGTTCACTATCTACTTCCAAGATCGCTTTGTTACTGCACACTGCGTTGATCGTAGGCCGTGGAGTGACCTATACCCTATCGTGCTCTTTTACGAAACACTAAGTGAGTGACATCAGCGATGCTTGCAAACAAAGGGTTTGCCTGAGCATTCCTTACGGCCACAAGGACCTCTCGGGTTGCTGATATTCGCTGTTTCACGCCCAGATCGAGTGATTGACATTGTGTACCTCAGAAACTCAGTCTCGCTAGAGGTTCTTTGCCAGAGCGCATAAGAATATGAAATTTCAGATTACCTCTATCTTTTTCCTCTGGGTCTTTCTACCGGGAGCTCTCCTGACGGGATGTTACATTGAAGGTTTAGGACAAATTAACCAACCAGAACATCTTAAATGTCTACGAGATATCAAGCATTCAGATGCAACTGATAGTAAGAGATGCTCTGATTCGATTTGGTTTAAGGAAAAGTGAGTCGTTTTTTTTCCGAGACCTAGTTTCTGTTTACTGAATTCAGTTTGGGTTAATTTCTTTTTTTCAGACGAGCTTGGCTTGATTTAGAAACTTGTTACGAACGTTGCTTGAGTTGTGTTTTTACTGGTATCTTTGCTAATGCTACTTCAGTCAGCTGTCACGAGCGTGTATTCCTTGGATATTGTTCAATGGGTTATCGTCTTGGTCATTGAAAAAAACTTCCACATATCTATTGCTGGCTTATAGGATATGGGATATGATGTCTTCAAAATTGTTCTATATTTTATCGGATGAAATCCAATGTGGTGCAACAAATTCTTTATGAATGTCACGGTTAAACTTGAACCGAATTCCAATCAAACGTGATCGAACCGCAATAAAATTCCTTTCTTGTAATTCCTCAAGATGTTATTTGTGTCCAAGAGTTGATAATGTGATATCTTCATTACTTCTCTCTGTTGATACACTCTTCTCACTTAGTATCTGAGTGATAAAGATGTCCCGCTGACTTGCTCAATGTGGCCTGTGTTGCTTCACTTCAGGGTTTCTATGACTGGCTGGATTGTTAGCTTTAAATATTTTAGTATCTGATCACCATCTATGAAACCTATGAGAGTCACCCTACATTATCATATTCCAAGCTTGCACAATCGATATTTCTGGCTGGGCAGTTGCAAAAAAAACTGTAGAACCTAGGAGGCACATAGCACATATACTATCATTCAAATTTGACATGCTAATAATGCGCACTTCATGGATTTTTGAATCATGACTTTCAACTTAATGGTATTAAAATGTTGGCCTTTGCCAAGGGTGTTCTCATTCTGACTCTGACTCCTGAGTTTTTGGTGCATCACGTAGCAGTGCTGTGAGGCTCGAGCATTTCACACTGGTGTCACTTCAGCCTTTCAGTGATGAAGCTTAAGCTTAAGTACAAGCACTATGATCAAGATTTTGATGGAATTGTAGTTTTCCGCAGGAGGCACGACGAAGGTGGGCGATGTCCACGCTTACGTGTAGAGCATACTACTGATGCCTCGGTGGAACTCGTCCTAAAATAGGTATGACAACGTAACCAGGACCAAGGGTCCTGGTTGATTGGACCAAGGGTCTAGTCTTGCTCGAATATTTAAATTGACAAAATAACCTTCACAACTAGACCAGGAAGGGTCTAAGGATCCGAATTGTTCCGTTGAGAAAAATTACCACGACAGGTTATCATTGTCATTTAAAAGAGTTCTTAACGTGGCCACGGATGAGATAGAATTTTTCGTTCCCCTCATCCGTCTTTCCACTTCATTTCTTTGTTATCCAAATTTCATCTTTTACCGATAAAATCTTCTATAGCTCCAAAAAGTATTTTTGCAAGATACCAACAACAGCTCCAATTTGTTCTATCAAAAATCCTGAAGAATTTATCGCATCTTTTTCTTTAGAAAAACGACCGTTTTCATAAAAGTGTCTACAAACATATACCTTACTTGTACCAAACCAAGACTCATCAAATCCTCGGCAATTGTAGATAAATTTTAAAAAGAAAAAGTCCATACTTTCCAAAAAACGTGACAAACGTCGATCAAACAACCAAGCAGAAAGAGAAAATGTCACCAAGTAGCATTGAAAACACCGCGGCACGTTTAAACTCCTTAAACTCGACAAGTGGAAACATGGCAAACCCTACAGACGCCACCACAAGCGTGTCAAATACGCAAACCAAAAACACTAGCGATACGGGTGAGCAAAGATTCTTTAGAAAAACCCAATTGGCACAAAGGAATCTCGTCCAAGATTGACTCAAAACCAAAGATATTCTAAGTCTAACAATTATCGTCTTAACTTACCAAATGTACACAATAGGTAACACAGAGCCACCACGGGAAAAAGGACCAGATGATCCCAATAAACAAAAAAGCCAAGGTAAGCAAATTCAGGCAGTGCGATCAGTCACAAATCTAAAAGACACTGACGAAAAACCACTATTGAAATTTGATGCGATATCGTCAGATACATCGAAAGATAAAGAACAACCACAAGGAAATAGTGAAGCTGAAAAAGAGATGAGAAAAGATCAATCATCAGCAGACAAATCCACGATCAGTCACAAAACAAACATCCTGACAAAGGAAATGGAACAGGTAAGATAATCTCTCAATACCTAATAAAAATGCGAAAAGAAAATTCCGTTCTTCGGGAAACATAAACCAACTTCATCCTCCATTCCATTTCTTGCCATTTTAGAAGCCTCCCCGATAACAAACATCAACGATTGTCTAGCTACAACCAAAAATTGATATCTAGAAGAATTCAAAGGCACCACTGTCCTCCCGAAAATCAAGAAGAAAGCTCCTAAAATGACAGAAGACGAAAGAAAAGAGAAACTACGTCAAGTCCAGTCGAGACTAGAAGAAATAGAAGAATTAGTGAGAAAATCAGCCGAACTCACAGGCTTATCAACTGACGAAGACACTGAGATGTCTGATCCCACCGAGATGTCTAAGCCCCTTCCAAACTGCTCTTTCGAGGAAGGAGGCTTATCTTTTGATTTCAGTAAAGCCGCCGACGCCAACGCAGTAGGTCTACCGCTATTCTTTCATAAGAATATGCAAACCCTGCAAGGGTCACTTCCTCTTCCAATCTTCAACAAACTGTGGCAACAAGCAGCTTCCGATAATCACACCGATTACAAGAAGAGCGACAAAGAGATTGAGAAGTACAGAGGTCATCCTTTCCCTGGAGAATGGTCCCAGTCCAGGTTTGAATGGAACGAAAATTTCGACACACTAGTAGAAATGTGCAGGAGAGTCTACAAATACTACTCCTTCGCCAACGCCCTAGAAATTCACAAGAAAAACGTTATCAGAATTTTCAAAGATCAACGTTCCTGGGTTATAGCTTTCAGATATGACTTAACCATCAGGAAGGCAACTTTCGCAGTCAGAAACCCAAACGACAAAATCCCCAATCCAGCGCTAGAACCTACAGGACTAGTCGACGAGATTTATTACGCTGCCAGAGCTCAAGGTGACCTAAATCTTGACGACAACCCTTACAGGAAAGGAGGACCAAAATTCGGAAGAAACCCATACGCAGACATCACTTCTGATCCATCCTCATCCAATTCGAGTCAAGGCAATGCCACATCAGGACAATCCAGACCCTACAGCTCTGGAAGAACCCAACCGAGATCTCAAGGACCTTATGGTAACTACAAAGGAAAGAATTTCAACCCCAGCTATAAGAGACCAGAAGGAAACAGATCAGATAATTTCAAAGGAAAAGGAAAAGAAAAAATGTAGGTGAAACCTCACATTTAAAAGTCTCCAGTACAATTCTTTCTGTTACCATCAAAGAAAATACCCCCGTTGTTTTTTCCTCTAATCCTCTAAGATGGATGCTTGATTCAATCAAACAGAAAAATGTGTGGAGACTCATAAAATGTTTTTTCTTCCTTTCCCTTGTGAAAACCTCTTGTATCATTGAACTTGTCCTTTTGTACGAAAATCCTGCAAAAATTCCACACTTATTGAACAACCCAAAAAAGGTTCAATTGTACCTACTCCGAAAGCTCCCACCTGTCCTCTGACGATTCATTCTTACTAGCATGTTCTGCTAATCCAATGCCACAACCTCCCGATGACGGCATAAGATGGCTTTCAGAAGACCTTTGGCCAACCAAGGTCACGTGTGAGATGAACATACCAGAGTGGAAGAAGGCCCTCGAAGCAGCAGGAATCCTTGAAGAATATGGAGATGTTATTTACGGTTTCACTCATGGTTTTGACCAAGGAATACCGTACCATTGTTTCGAGCACTGTAGATGGTACACCCCTCCAAATCATGCCTCCGCCGCAATCACAGAAGAAAAAATCAATAGAAGCATGCAAAAAGAGAAAGCTCTAGGTCAAATTTTCGGACCTTTCACTCACGAGGAAGTGTATAAAAGATGTGGTTTCTTTCGTACTAACCCAATGGGAGCTGTGGTAAACAGAGATGGGTCCATCAGACCCATCAATGACCTATCTTTCCCTCGAAACAATCCCAATATCCCTTCTCTAAATTCTTTCGCCGACGCCGAAGACTTTAAAACGACATGGGACAATTTTTCAACTGTCTCACAGTATTTCAGAAAAATAACCGTCCCATTCATCATGGTCATTTTCGATTGGGAAAAGGCTTACCGCCAAATCCCAACCATGTTGTATCAGCGTCAATACATGATGATCCTGGCACCAGACGGCAGCATATACTACAACAGCCGCATTGGTTTTGGCGGGGTAGGTGGTTGCGGGTCCTTTGGCAGACCAGCAGATGGTTGGAAGCTGATCATCAAAAACGAATTCGACCTCATGGAAATTTTTCGATGGGTTGACGACGCCCTATTCATAAAGGAAATGAATTCGAAAGTCCAGATGAAGGAAATTGTCGACAGAAGTCTTGAGTTAGGAGTCATCACAAATGAAGAAAAAATATCAGATTTCAAACCCGAACAGAAGTTCATAGGTTTTATCTGGAATGGTATCGAAAAAACGGTCAGACTCCCTCCCCTGAAATTGCAACAGCGAAGAGATCAAGTTGACAAAGCCTTAGAGAATGGAAGAAGATTCTCCCTGAATGAAGTCGAAGTTCTAACAGGCCGACTTAATCATGTTTCACTAATCCTGCCTCAAATGAAATGCAACCTCACGTCGCTCTATAGATGGTTAAAGAGCTGGGTGCATAAATTCGCGACCCAACTTCTGCCTGTCGATGCAAGGAAAGACTTAGAAGAATGGAAATGGATCTTGTCAATTTTCCAACAAACACGATTAATCAGATACTCAGTCCCAATCAATATGGGATGGGTAGGGGACGCATCCCCAAGCTATGGTGTTGGAGTCCTCATTGGAGGAAAAGAATGGTTTCAGCTGAAACTAAAAGTAGGTTGGCAAAATTCAGGTGATACTCCCAGAGGAATCGCATGGCTAGAGACGGTAGCCATTTGACTTGGACTCTGCCACATCATCTCCACAAGAAGCTGTGAAGGTAAAACACTGATAGTGTGGACTGACAACACCACCAGTGAACACGCAATCAAGAATTGAAAATCCAAGGATATCGAAGTAGACACTGAGTGGAAGAAGATACAAAATCTCCTAATCAAAAATCAAATGGATCTAGTAGCCAAACGCGTAGTGTCAAAAAGAAATATGGCTGATGACATATCCAGAGGAGAAGGCGATGATCATGACAAGGAGGAGAAGTATAGAGTTATGACCTCGATCCCAAAAGATTTAATTAAATGCTTCACTCAGAACTGGAAGAAAGAGGAGGAGTTCGATGATTTAAGTTTGCAGTTCCCAGGCCTTGTATGCGACTACTAGACCAATGATCTTGTTTTTCCCACTCTATAGATAATGTTGGTTTTTACAACAGACGTGTCGTAAAATTGTTTTTAGTTCTATGCTGCAATTGAACTCAAGTTTTTCAATTGACCAAATAAACTCCCTTACAGATGTTTTAACCATCCCAAAAGGGTTTGCATTATGAGAATGTAAGCGAAAGGCATGATCACGTAAAGGTGGACAACAGGTGTTGAAACTTGTAGGAGAATCAGTCAGACAACATGATTTCGTTTCATAACCATAGTGGAGACATTCAGATTTTCTCGAAAATCGTCCAAGTGCCTACACCGTCAAGAAAATTTCTAAGAATCATAACAGACAATATAGTCCCTCACAGAAAGTACCGTTAGGTAACAGAGGTCTGATCCCCACAAGAGAACATTCCCCAAGTTCGACAAAGAACCAACTGACGGAGACACAAGGCAAGTTCAACCGATCTCTGGTTGAAAGTTTCCTTAAGACAATAGCTAACCGAATGTCGTCATTTAAATAAGATATGCATATAACAAAGGCCGAGCTAATCAAAATCAAATGGTTCGTAGGAAGAGGAGACGATCAACTTTACTACAATACAAGACAAAGGCACGTAATCCTAGGGTGGAAATGGAACACGTTGGTCAGCTATAACGGAGCTGTTCGGAAATTCCTAAAAATTTTCAAAGAGAAAGGTACAAGACCTTTTGGACTACCAGCGACAAGAGATGAGATATACGACTTTTGTACGTGGTCGGGGAGACACCAAGATGGTCCAACATCCGAAGACATCTTGTCAAGAACAGTGCAGAAGTATATCTATGGATTAAAAGCTTGGCATCTGTACCATAGCACAGATTTCCCAAAATTGAACGAGGAAATGATAAAGGTGATGCTCATTGCTTCAGGAAAAATAGACGCTGGAATCCCGAAATCAAAGGAAAAGAAGGCTGTTCACTTATCTCATATGGTCCTTCTGATCACTGAACTATCAAAAGGAGGCGCAAGAGACATAGCGATAATGGACACGGTACTCTGCGCTTTCTGGAACCTGGCAAGATTGGGGGAAATGGCTGGGGATAAGCATGATTCATCAGAGATTATAAGAAGAGGAGATGTAAAAATAATGGCCATAAACAAAACGGAAGAAGGTTTCATATATTTGAAAGGCGCCAAGACATCAAAAGCGGGAGAGACTCAAGTGTTACAACTAAAAAAGCTAAATCACATTCTATGTCCAGTAGCCGCACTGAAGAGAAGGATGAACCAAACTTATCAGGACGAGGATCCAGTTTTTAGCTACCTAGAAAACGGAATCCGAAAAAACTTATCAAAGACAATCATCATGGCAATCTGTCAAAAACATTGGGAGATAGGCGGGTACAAAGGTTTAACGGGTCACTCTTTTAGAGTAGGCGGGGCCTCTTTAAGAGCAGCTTTAGGAGTCCCAATAGAAGACATATGCGAGATAGGCAGATGGAAATCAGAAGCTTATAAGCTTTACATCAAACCATATTCAATAGAAGAATTGCTAAAAGCTAAAGAACTGTTAAAGGAATTAAACAAGCATCTATTGAATTAATGAAATAGCAAAGTGATAAACAAGCCTAAAAGTGTTGGGTTTTCGGTTTCATAGGCTCAGGCTTTCAGACTTGAGAGTAGGGTATATTAAAACCTTAACCAGAGTAATTTGATTCTCGTTATCGAATCAAAATTGCTTTGGACTTCTCTCGAGTAGGTTCTTTTAGAAGCCTGAATCTTTTCCGACTAGTCCCCTTTTAAAAATTACCCATCAGTCATCTACGTAAACTAGCTTATAAAGCTCATCAGCCGTAGCGACTGGGAAACAGGTTGGATGTATTTGACTCCTCAGTTCTTATAAACTGGTACGTTTCGATTCATCACCTGAAGTGGTATTAATCCGGGGACTTCGCAAAATGACTCATCCTGACGTCAAGATAAATATTATCAAGACGCAGGAGGTTTCTCGCAAAACCCGTACACTGGTAGTCCTGGACCCGTAAGGTCGGGACTACCTAGGTTTGCTAGAAAGTAAAATATACCATCTTAGGGACTATAAAAACAATACCTTCAGCATTTTATGCCTCAAAAACGACCACCGGACATCGGAGAAGGTGTTCCGAATCCTCCCCCCCAAAAAAATCCGACTTTGCGACGATCGAATGACGTGGACTCCATGATGTGTGACTTAGGATCTCTTTCATCAGGAAACTCTCAATCGTACGATGCTCTTATTCAACTCATGATCAAGATGATGAACGGGTTCGAAAACACGATCAATGAACTCAACAATACGATCAAGGAATTACGCGAAGAAATCAAAGTCCTCAAGGAACGCTCAACGCCCCAACATAAAGAGCTCCACGCCACTAACAATACCACAACTCCTAGACCTCGTGCTTGGAACAACCCTTACCCAAAGCAAAATACAACAATAACTCCTAAACAACCCCCCAAAAACTCGGATATCAACAACTTCAAAGCTGCTACATTGATCATTCACAAAACACCTGGTACAGAACCCTTTAAGGGATTGAAAACGGCCGAAATTGCTCAAAGAATCAACAAAGCCCTCGCATCCATTGATGCCAAAGTTAACGGCTCCCAAGTTACAATACGAAGCGCCTCGCTCCTCAAATCAGGTGATGTGGTCATGTATATGGATAATCGATTTATAAAAAAGTGGCTCCTCGAAAACAAACATGTTTGGACAAAGCTAGCACACAATGAATTTGTAACTTCTCAAACACATTACCCAGTTCTTTTCAACTATGTACCGGCTGAACTCGAGGTTGAAAACAATGACTTCCCCAAAAAACTCAGCGAACAAAATGGCATCCCCATCGAATCAATCCACTCGGTCAAATGGCTCAAGAATCCCAAAGATACAGGAAAAAATCACGGTACAATTGTCCTCAACT